AAACATGTGTAACATACAGAAGGGGAATGTACATCATTACAATTGCCAACCACGTTGGCATTACAGTGTCACAAACTTAGATTCTATACAAAACTAAAATTTACTGTAATCCAAAATTCAAATATACTTTCTTCGACGTCAACTTGACAATTATTATATGTAGAAATTATTTTTCTATTATTTTTTTTTTTTTTATTATAAGTTTTAATTTAATTTACTATGTTTACCTTCATCTTCAGGATCTATGAGAAAATTCGGCAACCGCAAGCAAACATAAAGGTCATCTTCCATCGAAGTAAGGCCTCTGCTCGACATTTTCAAATTTCTGGATTCCCCTCACTCACAACTTTAAATCACGATAAAAACTACGAACAAGTTAATCGTTTTCAGATACTTTAATTCGCCCTTATTTATTTCTCTATAATTCAAATACGTACACCCGGTTTTTTTAACGTTTATCTCGCGTGACAACAAACTCTGCTCTTGACTGTAGCGCTTTAGCGAACAACTGAATTTTATGTTCGGACGTCGAGCTAAGTATAGTCACCTGTTTGACGTTATAACACACACGTGCTAATTGATTTGCTCGATGGCTCGAATAAATATTATTCGATACACACGATGGCCATGATTTACATAAGGTAAATCGCGAAATCGTTATGGTCGATTAATATTAACGCGATACTTGGATCAAGAAAGTTGCAAGCGTTACAATGTTCACGGTTGAATAAATTGCGCAAGATTTTTAAGCAACACGTCGAAAATAAATCGCGATATGATTATGTAGAAGACGCGTTTATGATGCGAAAACATCGATAGGAAACGAATTATTGACGAATTATTGGAAAACAAATACAAATTGTCTTGTTTCTATTCGCGTACCGAAACTTCGAAGTAGGCTAGCATACTGCGCGTGAACGGCTACGGGAGCTTCTAACAAAAGTACTATTTGGTTCGAGACGGCAGGAGAGCGACGTCGAAAGAAAAGAAGACACGTCGGCTCTTTGCCAAATTTCAAAAACGCTACCTGATGATATTGCCATCAAGTATACTGACATCGTACACATATGTACGCTATGTATATTGGTATTAAATCCAAAAATAATATACGGTACGCATTTCGTACGCAACGGGAATTGTTATACAGGGTGTCCCAAAAATGTTTAACCACCCCTTTCAAGGTGGTCAAACATTTTTGGGACACCCTGTATTTAAGATGGTTTGGTAAAAAAATGATAACAGTTCAGATCGTCTCGTAACTTTGAAAACTTGAAATTTTAATACACATCTGTGTGAAATATGGGTTCGATTTGCATCGGTAAACTTCGAATTTATTCGAAGCGTTGGGTTTTGCCCATCTCTGCCGCATTACGTCCTAAAAAAAAACCCTAAAAAAACCCTAGACGATCCTAGAAAAAAATGACTCTGGCTGTTGTTACAAAAGTGAAACTTACGATCACGGTGAGGATCAGCGTTACGTGGTGTTGTGGAGCTGTCAGCATCACCTTCGCCGTCTAATTCATAATAAATCCTATCAGCTTCGCCGTTTACGTCCTTCACGCCATTCACACCAACCAGATTCTCCATATTCCTATAAACATTTATCTGTTAATTTTCCGTGAGCATACGAGGTCGTGTAAATCTTTACGAAGACACGATACGACTAATAAAAACAAAATTGAGACTCGAAGTTTATTCCTAGAATTATGTTTTCAATAAATAAAAATTAACCATGTGTTTATTTACTATTTGCATTCGACTGTTGCATATCTTGTCTTACATGCAATTAAATGTCTCGATGTTACTAGATAAAATACGTTAACATTTAGTTACGATAAAAAAAGTGAAATATTTATCGTAAATGACTAATAATACAGTAAAATCCCAATTTAATAAGATTCGATTTAACAGAATTCTCAATTTATGGGTCGTGAGATGAATGATAAAATAAATAGTAAATGATTTTGCTATGCTTTTCATTTAAAAAATAAAATGTTTAGAGACGAAACTGAAACCAAAAATTTCCGTGTTTAGTTAACAAGTCGGTCTCATGCCATTTCGGTCGGATTTAAATCCGGTGATTGAGGAGATGTATTTATAACTTTTGGACAGTTGTGGAACAACTATTTCTGTACAACTCTTGATTTGTGCTTTTGATCGTTGCCTTGGTAAAATTGAAATCTGTTAAGATATTCGAACCTCATCTCATGGACATTTGGTTTTGAACTACTTTTCAATTTATGAAAATATATTATTTTATTTATATTTTGTGCAACGAATTTCAATTTTCATTAATTACAATAACTTATATAAGGTGTATGCATAAATTTTATAGGTTACGTTTAATGATGGAAAACGATATACAGTAGAGGAATGTAATTCTACGTAACTGTACATGGGACATTTAGATGTTGAAAGAAACTCAATTTTATTCATTATTACTTGAAAAAATGATATTAAATCCAAAAGAAAATAATTGTTCTACTATCCGAAAATTCCACTATCCGATCATTTTTGTCTCCCTATTAGTTCGGATACGGGAGTGTACTGTATCGCCATTTCTAAAGTAAATGTGTTGATGTTGGTGTAAGTGGTTAACGCATTTAACTAAAGCAATTGACTGTTCAGGAAACGAGTGATGCTGATTAAAAATTCAAGGTCAGATACATTATGACAGCGAACAAACTCAATCACGTTCGTGAATTAGTTATTTGTAAACTAAAAATGTGTGTATCATTTCCTTCATTTCTTCGTAATAATTTATAATACGATTACAAATAAATTTAGAACAATTAGCGAGATTTTGACGAAGCATTAAGTTATTGAAAATTTTAAACTCTGTGGAAAAAGGATTGAAAATATCCATCAACAATATTTTTGTTAGAAAACGTAGTACACACTTTTTACGACAAATGCATTTTTATAAACAATTAAACGTGATTATGCAAACAATAACAGGTTAACAGTAACTAAATCCATGTACTAAATCCATATTCAAAGATCTACATAAAGTGCACTAAATTCATATTCATGAAAACAAAACATAGTATACTACAGAGATAAAAGAATTAACGTCACATTTTCGAGTGAATTAAAATTAAACGTGTATACATTATATGTACATCAAGAAATAACAATCCAACACGTACAATCTCATTACGTAAAATAAAACAGTTAATCGATTCGAGTTGTGACAATTTATCAAAGAAGATACGCAGCTACATTAACATACGTGTATAGTAATGATATACACATTCTTATGAGAATAAATTAAACAAGATAAACGCAACTTACGTATTTGTTATTCCTGGAGATCAACAGATGAAACGTCGAAGCATTCGCTTTTTTTTTCCTTCAGTGAATCGGAAAAGACATTCGACGATAACAAAGAAACACAAACATGAATCACTTCTACGCGTCAAAAAACTGTTTGAGAGAATCACGATACCTTCTTAGTATTCGAAGGGTTTGATGAACGTATGTAAACCTAGAAGAACTTAGTTTGCTTTTTCCACTGAATTTCTGTGCAGATACAAGGTCATCGTGTTATAAATTAATGATATACGTATACGAGAAAAGAATCTGCACGTGTACGATTACTATAAAATTACTGTTTAATCTGTGAAACAAGAGGAGAAATTTCGATGATTAAACGACCGCAATGCACTAATTGTAAAAGAACACCGCACAAAGAACTTTCAGCATGCTGGAGCGTATTGCTAGCCACTGAATGTCACTACACGTTCCAGCCACGATACGTGTGAATAGGGCCGTAGTTATGTTTTCGGGGGCACCGGTGAAATCTCGAGTCACTGGATCAATCTCTTCCAAACGATAAAATCATGAATCAAAATGAATTTTTGCACGAATCGATGAAGAATAGTAAATTCTGTCTTTGAATTATTTTCTCGATTAAATGATGCAATCGCAACGAGTTCGACAGGGCGAACTTAAATTTGATTTTGTTTGCTTAAATTTTTAGGTGAAAATATGCATTGATATGCGACACTTTTTAACACTTGTTATTATTACAATTTATACGATTGTAATTTAAAATAAATAGAAAAGTGAATGAAAGGGTAAACATACAGTCAGGCTCATAAGTATTCGTACCCTGTATGCTGTACCCTCTATTAAATATAATAATTGGTTTGACGTTTCCAAATAAATGTTTCATTATAAGTATATATGTATGAATAAACTTTAGACATGTATATATTTATAATGAAACGTTTATTTGGAAGCATCAAACTTATTATTTAATTTAGACAAATTTTGTCAATAGGCATAGAGGATACGAATTCTTATGGGACTGTATGTAAAGTATGTATTGACAGAGTTGATGTAGCTGATGTTAAAATGTTTGGATAATGTGAAGTGTTTCACCTGTGACTTTAACCAACTTTAACACTACTGGAAATAAAGGAGAGCCACAGCAAGAACACCATTGGTCGAATACGGCGATGACGATGCGAACGCGTCACACGGCCGGCGCAAGCCCACGCCTGTCGCTCTAATGAAAATCTATACCGTGCAACTGTTCACCACCGATATACCCTTAAAGTTTAAACAAATTAAATAATTAATAATTTAATGCGAATAATTAGCATTATAAATCTACTTAAACATTGTGAATTCTATTCAGAAACGATCGATTTTACTAAGAAAATATCTCTGTCTTCTTTGAAATTATAGTATCAACTGTAAATTCAAATATTTTAACTTGTGAAATGCTTCATGAAATAATTTACAAATATTCGTTGTCGGTACAGTTAAAGTATAAAGTTCAGATGAATTAAATAACTAATCATGCTTTAACGATCGATTCTTCTAAAAATACGTTCTTGTTTTCCTCGAAATTATAGTATCAGTAAATTGAAATTGTTTAATATATCTTGTGAACTGTATCATGAATGAATTCACTTCTTGATAGAATATAATGAAAAATTCATGGAAAAGTAAACTCCTACAATGTCGATAATAAAATTCCCAAGAAATAACTTTTTCTTGCTAGTATATGTTATTTTATTATGTTACACTAAAGTTACATTATAGACAAATCTGTCCTCTGTTTCTATATACATTAAATGTGCGTTTAGGAATGAACAAGAAGAATAAATTAATAAAAATTGATAGGAAAGTAAGATACATCAATGTCTACGAAAACATTCCCAAGAAAGAACTGTTTCTTGCTAGTATATGCTATTTTATTATGTTACACTAAAGTTACATTATACAGAGACAAATCTGTTCTCTGTTTCTTTACAGGGTATCTCAGAATCAGTAATCAACCGGAAGGAGGGGCGGGAGGGGGGGGAGAGGCGTGGCTACGCCGGGACCTAGCATAGCCAGCCAATCCTGGCTCGAGCCAATGCTCTCGCGGCTGAGCGCGTACTATTCGGGCGCTGTGATTGGTCGGTGGTTTTTCGTTAATAATTCAACAACGAAGCACCATTCAAAATTTTTGCAAAGGAAATTGTTGTTCAGAATCGTCTCAGCTACCCCTTATTTCCGGTTCTTACACTAATTCTAGGATAACCTGTATACATTAAATGTGCGTTTAGAAATGAGAAGAATCCGAGAAGAATCCACTTTAACAGAAAATCTTGGATTTCGTTCGAAACTATTCCTAACTCTTCCCATTTTAATTAAAATCAAAATCACTTTCCGTGTTTGAAACATTCCGTTCGATCGTGCTGTCCGTGTCGGAATCTAACAAGGACTTTATCACGTCTTTCTTTTTCTTTGGTTCGTTTTCGGAAGATAATTGTCTACTTTTACTCTGGCTCTCATCCGCCTTTTCGAAAGCTGGATTTTCTTCCGTTTCTTGACTCTTTGGTTCCTCGTGTTGTTCCTCGTGTTGTTCCTCGTGTTGTTCCTCGTGTTGTTCCTCATACTTTTCGTTTTGTCCTTCTTCCGTCTTTCCGCTTTCCTCTTCTTGCGCGACCTCTGTCTGATAGGGTTCGTAGGATTGGTTTACATCGGTTTCGTATTCTTTATTGGGATCGTACTGTTCGTCGTAAGTGTAAGAAAATTGTTGATTCGCTTCTTCTTGGTATTGGGCATGAGGATCGTGTTCGTACTGATTCTCAGGATTGTTGACATACTGATCGTATTGTTCGCTCGCGTACTCTTGGTACTGTTTATTCGGATCTTGCACGTATTCTTCGTTCCCGTACCCTTGATATTCTTGGTGCTCGTTATTCGCGTACGACGCGTTTTGATCGTAATTAAATCCCTCGTGCGAATCGCCGTACGTTGCTTCAGGGTTTTCAGCATAATTTTCCTGTTCGCCGTGACTTGTTTCCTCTTCCTGGTTATTAGCGTACTCTTTTTGTTCCTCAAAGTTATCTTGAGAAAATTCTACGTTTCGGGCCGTGCCATCTTCGTGCTTCGATTCTTGATCTTGCGAAGCGAAGATCTCCCCTGCTTCGGTTTCATTTTTATCGATATAAGCTTCTTCCGTGTTAAAACGTTCAGAACCCTCTGCCTGTGATTGATCTGCCTGTGATTGATCTGCCTGTGATTGATCTGCCTGTGAGTTTATATCATTCGAATCTGTTATTTCCATCTCTTCTCTGAGATCTTCATCTCGCTCTTCTGGTTGGCCTTCCACAGTATCTGCTTCGTTTTGAACTTCAATTTGCCCTACATTCCCGTCGTTAAATTCTTTTTCCACAGCTTGTTCTTCAATTTCGCTAATTAACTCCATCTCTTTGACTTGCTTCTCAACGTGATCCAAGTTCCATGGTTCCAATTCTTCGGGAACGTCGAACGAGTGTTGCTCTAGGTTCGTTTCCTCCGCCATATAAACGTTATCTCCTTCGCAGTGCGTTTCCTCTCGTGGTTTTCCAGATATACCATCCTCGCCATTCGGTTCCACGCTCTTCGATGCAACGTATTCGTCTTCTCGCGCCTCAGGTAATTGCTCGTACCGTTCCAATGTACGAACGCCACCTGGGTCATCGATATACTCTTTTTCAGGCTTTTCGATATTTCCACGCAAATCTAATTCTGGATCAACTGACGCGACATCGCTGCTAATTTCGTCTGTTACATCCGCCACCGATGTTGCGCGTCCTTCGCGCTTACCAAAACTCTCGGCGGAATTTTCTACCGAAATTGGCTTGTAGGTTCGCGTGGTTCGAATCGATTCGAGATTTCTATTTTTATCATCGCGTTCCCTTTCGCCATTTTTAACGTCCGCCGTTCTAACCGCGAGATCATCCGCCAACGCTAAAACGTTTTCGACTCCCTTGGAAAGGTTTCTCTCTGGTTTGCCTTGGATAGAAAATTCGTCGTCCAACAAGCTCCGCTCGTCGGCTTCCTCGAAACTCTGTGCATCCAGGTCGCGATAAAGCTTTCGAATCTTGCCGATGTACCTGTCCAGCTCGTTTTCCACATCCTCCGTTGCTCCGTATCTGTCTTCTTCCAAGGGAACGTGCCTTGCACTCGTTGGCGATCGATACGCGTTATTTAAACGTTTTGGAATAAACCGTTCGTTCCGTTTTGTCGCGTAACTGCCGTAGGAAGACTTGAACGGAGGAGAGTCGGATATTGGTTTCTGGCGATATTCGGAACTTGTCAAGGAATTGCTCAAGTAAATAGAAAGAGGTTGCCTGGACGACAAATTCAGGCGTGCGTTTAGCGAGGACGTATCTGGCACGGTACATTCCGTTATTATCGGCGTGGTTCGGAACCCTGGAGAAGTTACGTTGTCGTTCTTACTCGGATTACTCGGTAATTGCTTGGTACTCGTCTGTCGAAGAGATTGCATTACCAGCGATGGACTGATGCAGTACTGAGAAGTCGTCGGGGTAGTTCGATTCCGAACTATGCCCACCGGTGTGTATCGCGATACATTATCATTACTATATTCAGGTGTTACGAGGTATGGCATGGTTTGACTATGGCTTGGTTCCGTTCGTCGAGGCGAGGATTTATTAAAATCCTGAATGGCGTTTCGGTTTGACGAATCGATTTGCGAGCGAGGCGATGCATTTGGAAAGTTGTGAGAAACGAGATGCGCGTTGTCGTCGTAATGCTGTCTTTGCCGAAGAACTCGCGGTGAGAAATTCGGAGATGGTAATTGTTGAATTTTTTGGTGTACTTGCAGAGGACTGTCGTTTATCCGCTGATTCGACGTTCTTAATTGTATAAGATTCTGTTGGTAATCAATGGGATACGTGTCTTGCGTCGACTTAGTCATTCTTGAAGGAGAAACGATCGTACTTGTTTGATGATTGGACGGAAACGTTTGCGACGATGAGATACTTCTTACTTCCCGAGGCAAACTAATCTGTCCCTCGATGGCATTACTTCCCAAGTATTTATCTCTAATTGGACCAGTCGTATCGTTATCGTCGACGATACTTCTTTGTGGGCTACGAACAGCGTAAATTTGACGAAGATACGCTTCGTATTGTTTCTGAAAAATAACGAGATATTCTACGTTCCAACGCGTGTCTTCTCTTACGTCGCTCGGTTTAAGTTACGGGAATGTTCCGCAATTCGTGGTCAAAGTAGAATAATAATTTTTTACGTTAAAAAATAAATAAGCAAAATTGATTTTTTAATGAGTTACAGCACTTACATCTTCGAGCAGCGATATATCGCTCCTTGGCGCTCAAAGGGTTGAAGGACAATCAGATTATTATACTGCACGAGGAATCTGTTAAAATGAAGTGTACTTTATATTAGAGAATAATCGGTACACAGACATTTATGTAAGTACACTTAATTTTAACAAATTTATACATGTATATATTGTAGAAAATGTATACGTATACATTAAAGATATATTTAATATACATAAAATTAATGAAAACAAAAAAAATATATATATATATATCTTTCATTAATTTTATGTATATTAAATATATTTGTAATGTATACGTACACATTTTCTACACTTTAATGCACCTTTAGTAATATACATATTTCTTTAATTTTAAGATTTATATAACATAAATAAAATAATTAATATGATGTAAATAAATTCTCCTGTTAACCATGAATTGTGGAACACCCTTTATGTATTACGTTTACGTAGTACGACTGTATGCCACCATAATGGATAAGAATGTCTTTGAAACAAAGATCAAGTGAATCATAAAAGTTGTAATAAACTTATAACAATAGCCACACAATTTTTCGGTGTAGACGATAAGTGATACAAGAAAATGTGAACGACTGAATCCGGATAAAGCATTGTGTAAATATTGTTATGTAAATTGGAGAAGATAAGGGAACTCACTCTGAGAACATTAAGTCTATTTGTTTTCGAAGTCATCAATGCAAGACTATTGTCTACTCTGTCCAATGCTTCGAGAAGTTTATAGTTTCTTTCGTCCCTGGTACGTTGTTCTTCTAAAAACTCTATGTACCTCAGACGCAATCGATTTATACATGCATCGTGCCTGTAACGTTAATAATTTTTATGAATATTCAATGGGATTCTTTTTTCATAGATGCAGGTAAAACAATCGTGCAAAGAAGATTCGCCTGGTCCTTATTTTAATGATTTCAATTAAGCTCTTAATTGTAACATTAACGTGTGACCCAAATTCTCCAAAGTTTCAAACGAAAAATACGTACAATTTTTTCGAATCGATTATTAAAATAATATTACAAAAATATTTCAAGTAGAGTAAATAACTCCGTACTTTCTGCACTGATATACAAGGAAATAATCAAGATAAAAATTTGAAATTTTTAGACCTTATTTCTATTACTATAAGTAATAACTCCGTCAAATTTCAAATCATTTTATCAATTTTTACCGAAGTTATAAACAAAAAAGTAACCGATCGACAATAATTGCATGTATTTATCGTTTCAAACATTCGAAAATTTAAAAACTTTGCAAGAATTTTGCAAGAGTTTTCTTTTTATGTATTTACAAGTTACTTAGACAGATGGGAGAAGAGGGGGGGGGGGAGTGTAACATAAATTTCAAAAATCATCAGATTAAGTACGTAATTTTCATTTAGTCCACGTGAAAAAAACTTCCTTGTCATAAACAATAAATTGTTTCTATCTAAACGAAATAATCTAGGGAAACGATGCTCGTGCACAGGAAGCATTTTCAACGTTCAAAGTTAAATCTACTATAATTCATTGAAGGCTTGCACGATCGAAGAACATTTCGTGACATTGGCAAAAGGTTTCGTCTTCGCTGTAAATATAACACATAGACACATACAGGGTGTTCCGTATAAAGTATCATAAACTGTATTCATGAAAACTGATTAAGATTTAGGGGACTCCCTTTTTTCTTCCAACAGATGCCCAAAGAAAATTTTGTCGCACACTGATAGATTAACTCCTCTATGCCATTTAGCTGTAGCAGAAATAAAGTCGATATGGTTCTTAATTTCTAATGTACAGGGTGTCCCAAAAATGTTGTAACACCTTGAAAGGGGTGGTTCGGGAGATGATTTGAAACAACTTTTTCCTTAGCGAAAATGTTGTCCGAGGCTTCGTTGAGAAGATATTAACGTAAAACAGTGACCAATCAGAGCGCGAGTATACCGTTGGAGCGACCGCGGTAGCGTATGAGCGCGGCCGCTTAGCGCGTAGCCTTCGCTACCGCGGTCGCTCCAACGGTATACGCGCGCTCTGATTGGTCAGTGTTTTACGTTAATATCTCCTCAACGAAGCCTCGGACAACATTTTAGCTAAGGAAAAAGTTGTTTCAAATCACCTCCCGAACCACCTCTTTCAAGGTGTTACAACATTTTTGAGACACCCTGTATAGTTTGAAACACTTTATACGGGACATCCTATGTAATACGTACATACAGATCGCAAGCCATATCAAACACGAACACTGCAGTGCCAAATTGAAACAGTGTCTACGGTGTCTACGTAGTCTCCCCCCTTCTATGTGTACGATCGATGCTTCACTGAGACGTATTTCGGAACGTAAACACAGAGAACGTGGAATTCGTGTCCGAAACAAATTGTGACACAAGGCTTATATTTGCGTATATTGATTATGGCATTCCCTAAAACTAGGTCGCTCGCAAATCAACGTATAATCTCCAAAATGTTTTCGCGTTATTATTACCCCGAAAACGGAAACAAAGTCGATAATACCGACTGTCTAACGAATAGCAGACTGAAAACCATAGTGTTGTAGAAATTAAAGAAAAAAAATTAAATAAAATTAGATGGTCTGTGAATTCGTACAATTTTTGTTATCGAGACGTAAAATCGTGGTATAGCAGAATTCCTTTTTTTTTTTTTTTTGTTTACTTATGCCACTGTGATTCTCAGCCCGCCAAATCGCAATATTAGTCATGCTTTGAAACGTCAAAGTGTTGTTTCTAAAAAACGTTCTTCGAAACTTGATTTCTTTATAATTAAGTTGATAATTGCTGGTTTCAGTTTAAATCAAATTTAGATTCACTCGAATAAAAGAGTTAAGGATAATTTAAACTTGAAAACTCACCTATTACGAGATTCTTGTACAAGTATTTTGAATCTCTCGTCTAATCTTATCCTTTCTTCTTCGCTGTAACGATCGTATAACATCAATTACACATCTTTCTATTTAAGGGAGAATTCTGTTTCTGTTGTCAACAAACATCAACTGCACTCACCTTTTTCGTAATTTTTCCTGCAATTCCAACATTTTTTTGTAATAATCATGACTATCGTAAAACGATGTCATAGTGCTGAATTCGACTAACAGTTAATCAAAAAAGAAATCGAAGTAATCGATTATATCGACGTTCGATATTTGGCGGTTACGACCGAAAAAATTGTATACCAAACCGAAATCTTTTTTAAACAATGTTTATGAACATGAATATAGGAGAATGTACAAACAATAAATCTTGCACGAATATCGCACAATGCTTCGCAAATAAATATTGTTTCCAATAATTATACATACTTCTCGTACTTTTTAATGATTGAAATTAATTTAATTAATGTAACGAAATTAATACTGATTTAGGTGAAAGAAACGGTTACTAAATACGCGAAACGATGCCTGAAGACAATTTACTTTGCAAAATCACGTAATAATAGCAATTGCTACGGTCTTTCTTTATGTAGACCCAACGAGCAACTGTCGTTACTTGACGTCGCGCAACACGGTAGGGCTGCGACTGTTTCACCAGGTAAACACGCAGGTGTTGTCCCTACTCCTACACTAACAACACGCAAGAAGAATAAAATACATATAATACATAACATTCATATCTTAACTTCATAATTGGAACTGATATAGACAATACAAATTTCCATTTTATCAAGTTCACATGATATACATACAATACCTAACCCTCAATTTACACGGTACTATTTTCATACGATTTCGTTTTTCCACTATTTTGAGAATAACAAATTTTCAAAAATACAAATAATCCAAAACAACAACTTAAACTGCGAATATATTTTTTCAGTCATCTTTTGAAACCGTTCGTTTGTCGGTATTGACATTAATCCTGAAAAAATGAATCCCCCTTTTTTGTACTTAAAAAAAGCAAATCTTTAGCAACAGAAAGTGCAATAAGGTTCGCTTAATTTTGGAGTTATTATTGGAGTTAGTAGGTTTAATAGATTCGGTCTATTACATTAACAAAAATGTAAACATGCACTGCATTGGGATGCAAAAGTAAATGTAATAATACCAATGAAATTCAATTTTTTAGGTAAGTGTGAAACACCTATTATTAAATTCGTGAACGTAATTGGAAGTAATTCGAAGAACTAGTGTATATAGATGAATAATTATTTTGAAATATATATTTATAGATTTCCACTAGATATCTGTGGGACAATTCCCCAGAGACTCTTTATGTTACTAGATAGACTTTTGTGGAAACACAGCTTTATAATACGCATAGAAACATACTCAAAAGGCCAGACGAAGTTTTGTTGAATTTTGTTATAGAAGAGTACTCTGTGATATGATTTGTGAATTAAACATTTATACCTATCTGAAGTTCACTGAAGTTGCCTTCGCACACGAAATCGAATAAACAAATGACATTAAATGTTTTCGAAGTAAAGCATAAGTAGCTACTTACCTTTTATGTATGTAGGAAGATAAATATTACATTTAAATAAAAGCAGTATCCTATTTTACGAAAATGGTAAGAAATATACTTTTACTAAATACAAAATTTTGTTTACTAAACATCAAAGGACTCAAGAAATTGTTTGAATTTAACGAAATACTAGTCTATTTGCTGTTTAATGTTCTTTATTACTAAAGAATTTATAACGAAATAATAGAATTTTTAATAATAATCGAATATAGTGTTTAATTAATTTTTTTTTTACAGGATGTTCAAAGGCATTCTGTACATACTCTTGTATTTAGATCTTTAAAAAGAACACATGATATGTTTTTGTTAAATCAAGGCACTTTACCACCTGTGGATTCTAATTTGTAAGTACACTTTACATACCTGGTGAAAATGAACATTGAATTCAAGTGATATGCTAATCCTCTAGGCAAAAAGTGAAGAAATCTGTAAAAGCAAAAGACTGTTACGGCCCAGTATTAGAGCGTGTTAGAGATAACAACATAATGAAAATACAGAATGAAAATGAAAATGCTGATCCTCCACCACCAGGCGGTATTTATTTATATTATTCACATATGAAGACTATTAAGGAAAACCAAAAAACGTCTAAAAATGTAACTTGTTTTCACCTATTTATAACCTTCAACATGGTTTTCTCTTAATAGTATTCAAATACATAAGCTTATTTGTTTTATTAACAAAAAATATAACTTATAGATGAATCTTTTGGAGGTAGTAATAATACTGCAATTGTATCTTACAATCCTATGCAAAACAACAACTCAATTATGATGGCACAAACAAATTCTGGAAGTAATGTGGTTAATAATACTGTAATGGTACCACAAAAAAAGACACCTTCTATGGCAAAACCAAAGTGGCATGCACCATGGAAACTATACAGAGTTATTAGTGGTCACCTTGGTTGGGTAAGGTGTTGTGCTGTAGAGCCAGGAAATGAATGGTTTGCTACAGGTTCAGCGGATAGAGTAATTAAAGTAAGATCGTGGTTATATTTGATATTTTGCCTCCATATAATATACTATTTACTATGATAGTATATTTTGTTTTTATTGTTTCTAAAAAAATTCTAGATATGGGACCTTGCAAGTGGTAAATTAAAAGTTTCTTTGACTGGCCATATAAGTAGCGTTCGTGGACTTGCATTTTCTCAACGACATCCATATTTATTTTCTTGTGGAGAAGATCGACAAGTAAAGTGTTGGGATCTTGAATATAATAAGGTTATCGAAAATTTTAAATAATTATTTTTAATATTTGTGACAATTTATGTTTTATGACTAAAAGTATGTCTTAATTAACAGGTTATAAGGCATTATCATGGTCATTTATCAGCAGTGTATTCTATGGCATTGCATCCTAGTATAGATGTTTTAGTAACTGCAGGTAGAGATTCTACAGCGAGAGTATGGGACATGCGTACTAAAGCAAATGTTCATACCCTTGTTGGCCACACTAACACAGTTGCTAGTGTAATTTGTCAAATAGCTGAACCACAGGTAATGTTTACCTAGCATTTTTCATTAAAAAAAAAATTGAAGCACAACTATATCTGCCTTTCTCATATTAGATCGTTACTGGAAGTCATGATTGTACCATAAGATTGTGGGATTTAGCCGCAGGAAAATCCAGAGCTACTTTGACAAATCATAAGAAAAGTGTAAGGGCTGTGACTTTCCACCCATCATTGTATGTATCTTTTATAAATTCTTTACCATCTATATCTGTATCTCATTTATTTAATTCTTATTGTTTGTTAGATATATGTTCGCCTCAGCTTCTCCAGATAATATTAAGCAGTGGAAATGCCCAGAAGGAAAGTTTATACAAAATTTATCTGGTCATAATGCTATAGTTAATTGTTTAGCTGTTAATGCTGATGGTGTCTTAGTTTCTGGAGCAGATAACGGTACTATGCATCTTTGGGATTGGAGAACAGGGTAAACTGATATAATTACGGTATCTCATTTTAATTTTAATATTGCTTACGAAAACATTTATAAACTTTAAGGTATAATTTCCAACGTTTGCAAGCTCCAGTCCAACCTGGTTCAATGGATAGCGAAGCGGGAGTTTTTAGTATTACATTTGATATGTCGAGTACTCGAATGATTACGACAGAAGCAGATAAAACGATCAAAGTTTATAAAGAAGATGAGACTGCTGTAAGAATAAATAATTTATTAAAAAATAATTATATAGTAATCAATACATATGATTTAATTATTTTTTTATTTGCATTTGTCAGACTGAAGAAACGCATCCAGTAAATTGGAGACCAGATATAATAAAACGAAGAAAATATTAAGCGTCTTTAGATGTAATAAATATTATTAATTTCAAAGTTCTTCATCCAAGTCAAACTCTTCTTCTGGAAAATCTCCCACTTTTATATGTATTGGTTTTATAAATCCACCATAGTTTGGCAAACATTCAAAATACTTTTTTCCATTAACACTAAAATGAAAAATGTACCATATTAGCAGTAAAATGTGTAAAAATATAAAATACATAACATAATATAATTTGTAATCTTACGTTCCATTATTTTTACCAAGTGGTTCATCATATTTTACACCGATCCACCAACCTTCCTTAAATTGTGTTTTACCTATAAATGAAAAACTTTATATATAAAATTTAACTGATATATAACTGAAAAATAAATTAGAATAAATTATTGCACTTACCAACATACATAATGGTAGCTCTACGTTTTGGTTGATTTGGTACACAAACTTCACAACGATCACCAACTTTGCATGATTGAGCTGCTGCTGCTTCTGCCTCTTCTTCTTGCCGTTTTTCCTCTATTTTTTTCTTCATTTTTTCTTCATCGTACTTTCCCAATTTATTTTTCTCCAAAAATGCTTTCACAGTATCTGAAATATATAGAAGTTATATGTACTAATATAATTTATATATAATGCCCATATATAGTGTTACAAGCTGTATTTCAGAAACTATTAAGGATAAAGATAAACTTCATTCTTTTGTTCTGCAGAGTGTTTGGGAACTGTTTAAAATACACTAAATTACCTGGTCTTTTGGCATATTCTTCTTCAGATATTTCAAATTTGTCAATATTATTAAGACTTTCATCGGTACGAGAAAAATTGTCTATTATCTAAAGTACCATATAATATTATCATTAATACATATAAAATTCAAATTCTATTTAATAATAGCGATATTAATTCGTTTTACATGCACTCGCATTCCATCATCAATTGGGTATGATCCTAAAAGTCGTTGACCATCGTCCAATTTACAAATTAATTGATTGTTCTTATCATATACTTCAATTATCATTGTCAACGGATTTCCACCAGTTACAAGTTCTAATTTTCCCTGTATAGTCGAATAAAAGTATATAATAGTGCAAACAATAAATAACAACAAAAATAATCGTCACAACAATCCTACCTTAAATTCATCAATGGTTATTCCTTTCTGAAATCTTCGTTCTACGCAATATGACTGCTGATTAGAGTTAGTAATAGATAAATTTATAAAATCGCTTGTCACTACACCGTAAGCACTCATCTTGATTTCAATTTAAACGAAAGTGTCAGTGTATCTTTTCGTCAACTTTGGAGCGGGTTGTGGCGGGTTGCTTTGTATATATATATATATGATAGGCGATGATAGGTTACTTAGGTTATAATACTTAAATACTAATTTTACAAAATAATTAATTTATTAGATAATGACAATTACAATTCCGATAGAAGATATCATATTATTTTATGTAATTTATATATTATATATAACAAGTGTACATAGTAAATGCTATAGACTACTTATCAAACGTACGAGTACTCTTGCGGAGCGAACGAATCGGTAAATCGTTTCTTATGATTTCGTTCCCTAAACAAATCTTTGAAGTCTATGGTGAATTTTAAAATAATTCAAATATTTCTGAAATAAATAAATAGGTAAGAAAGTTCTTGTTTGGCCAACCTGATTAGTTTAAATCCCACAAAGTACACAAATATTTATATTATTTTATAAGTATTATAATACATTATATTTACTCATCCTTGATTAAAGGTATGTAATGTAGTACCTAAATGTTACACGTCTGATAGATGAATTTTGCACATAAAAAATTTCAAATATCATTGGAAGGAAATATTATTTATTGAATGTTCTTTTTCCTATTTTCACATACAAAGTACTGTTTTTTTTTTTTTTACATTAAATTGAACTTACTATTTCATATTCCAAAAAAATATTTTAATAGCACAAAAAGAAATTACACTGTGCGAGTCTCTTCAGTATTATGTTAATAATATAAATAACAGTATTTTGCAATATCAATATTGCATTTTTATGTTTAGAACATTCTACATAATAGTAAATTTATTTATTTGAAAATATTTTGTAATTTATGGAAGTTCCTGCAATCTACTTAGATTTAGATCGTTCACAGTCAATAATTATTCATGTAGGTAATTATTTTATAGAAGCTTGGATGTTAATATTTCATAAACCATTTTGTTTCGAAAATATGGCATATCGTCTTGTGTAAATGTGATTTTCCTATTTGCACAAATATATTCAGCAAACATACAAGAAAAAACACCACAATCACTTCCATTCATTTGCTGTGGAATATTTTTTACACACTCCAATTTCCAATTACTTGTATCATAATGTTGTTTCTTTTTGTCTAAGCTTTCATCTTCTAAATATTGACGCAAGGCTGATAAACATTGTGAATTGCTGCCACACATACTATCATAATAACGAATAGACTTATCTCTAAAATCAATTATTGACATACACCAATGAACACCTAGATGTACAGGAACAACTACAAGATCTTGCGCAAATATATCAATTTTTCTCGTCCACCGTTTTAACGATGCGTGACCACCCGTAACTAATTTTGGATAGAAAAATGTATTCATAGCATGTACTTTTGGATACTTATCATTACTGCTTCTAGCTATTAATAAGTTCATATAAAAATTGATTACTTCATCGTTTAACCAATTTAAGTCAGCTAATGTATGAATGTCTTTTCTTGTAATTCTTAGGCCAAAACCTTCGACAAGAACTTCGTCTGGTGGTCGAGGAAAAAGTGCATTTTTTACATCTTGTAGCATTTGTTTTGTTAAAGTAGGCAATGTTTCATCTGGTTCTTCGCTTTCATCCAGGACAGCTTCGCATAATTTCATAGATTGAGCTAATTGCTCTTCTAAAGCAGCTTCTCTTGCTAAACGATTATGTCTAGACAACATATACGTTAGCTTTTTAAGCTCTTCTGCCTCCTTGTAACGTCGTTCTATTCGTTCATTATACCGTTTTGTTGTTTGAGGTACAAAGTCATTCCTGAATATAGCTCTAGCTGCTAATTGGTCTCGTAATGAATTTGTTGCTACAGATTTAATACATTTAGATGGAACTGATTTATCTATACTAACATTTTTTTTATTAGACTGTGTTTGATCACAAATGGAATGTGTTGCCATATCTTTTTTATCGTTATCCAGATTAATAGTTACTATTTTATCTTTTTTATCTTTATTCTTTTTTTCTCTGTAATGAGTATTCCAATGCATTTGTAATGTTGTGCCATATTTTTCGGACATTTGTTGAGGTTTAGGAGTTGATGAACCAGATTTTTCTATATCTATTATTTCTACCACTTCTGGTGTCGGTACTTTTTCTTCATGTTTAGTACATATAACATCTATCCTACGTGGGAGAAAGTTTTGTAGTAATTCATCGTATTGACTTTTTTCTCTCAAGCGATGAGTGTTGGTTAATGTAGGACATCGTTGATGAGTACCATTTTGTACTCTACTTAATTTATCATAACACTGATCAGGTTTAGACATGGAAAAATGTGATCCGTAACAAGTAAATGGTTCTTCCCTACTACTGCATGAACCGTTCAATCTACTTGACGATTTAATGGGAGACTGTTTACGGTTAGTTACAATTTGGACATCATCACTGTCACTGTCATCTTTAATTTCGATGGATTCTTCATCGTCGTTCGCAGTTTTATAGTCACAACAGTGTTTTTTTGGAGTAACAAATTCTTTTTCTATACTAACAGAGGCTGCCCTACGTTTCCTGGATGCCTCATCTACCCATTCAAACAATCTTTTTATAAAACTAAACATGATTACTATGGGAAAATAATTGTTTACACCGCAAAGCCCAAATAGTTTTCAGAAGTATGGCCATCCAATATAGTATAAATTTATAGGTTTTTTATTTTCCATGTAATCCTAGAAATTATGTTAGACATTTGTTAGATGTAAGAATCTATTAAAACCTACAATTAAACCCTTAAATCAATATTCAAATTTTCATAAAAGAATGGTTTTTCAAGTACGGATACTTACATCATATATATGGAGACACTTAAGTATGTAATTGCATAAAATTGTGATTGATAGCCACTGTATTAGATTTATTAAGCCAAGTAACCTAAAATCACATTTGTATTGATTCATCATACTGTAATAATACAGTAAATATAAATGTAAACATGAACCTTAATTGACACTGAAAACTACATCATAGATAAACCAAAGGATGTACATATACCTTTCAAAAAATACTAACCTGATATGATTTTATGGAAGGTGTAATTTGATACTAAGTATTCCGGTATTTTACATTTTGTAATCTCCCAAGGAAAAATGGAAAAATTATATACCCTATGAGCTTCACATACAAATTTAAACATAACAAGTAATAAACCGTGTGTTTAATTCCATTGGTATTAACATGAAGTATGGATTGACAACTCCCGCGTATTTTGTGGAAAAATTGAACGCCCTTCGGTGTCAGTTTTAAGAACTACATAAGACATCTGTACTGTTTTATGCTTCTTCACGTCAAAGATATAATTTGATTTAAATTGATTAAACCATTGTAAACAATGAATATAATCTAATCTATATTTTTGTATCATTCTAGTATAAGTAAAATTCAGAAAGACATATATCGTAATTTTATATCATATTTATATGTGGCGGGTAACAAATGTAGTACGCATGCGTTTTTGAACATATTTCGTATTCCATAGAAAATTTTAACATCTTTGTATGTGGAATTTGGATACATTTTGTTGTTGTTTGTAATGTTTGTAACTTATTGAATATTATAACGATAGCAATAAGATTGATATACACATTATTAAAATATAAAAATAAGAAAATTTAGAATTGTAATCGAATTTTACAGTTTCACATTGGAATGGGTAACAATTGTACATTTCTAATCGATAAAGAAATTTCGAACGCAACGATATTTTTATTATGTATACATAAAAATTATACAAATTCAATAAAAGTAAACAATAATTTGATCTAATGAGTGATGCTAATCAAGGGTTTATTGCTGTGCATGTGGGTATGTTATTAATTTTCATGAAGTTTCGTATTATTTCAACAATAGAATAATTATTAATATCATAATTGTTGATTGTACATTTTATTAGGAGCAGGACGACATTCGGAAACTCTTAAGGAAAAATATCAGAAATTATGTCGCCAAGCATGCAAAGTAGTAAGCTGTATTTGTTTTTATGCGTATTACACCCTTTGTGCTGAAACCATGAATGTGTAATTTAATTAGTTCTAAAATTCGAATTAAAAAATCAAGGTTAAATATATACAGTCATTATTATTTAACATTGCTTTAGTGAAAACTTTTACATTCATGGTTCTTATATAATGGGAACGATGGATAAAATTGTAAAAGTTTGTTTAACCAAATATAAATATTATCATAGGGAATACAAAATTTAAAATGTGGAGGAAGTACATTAGATACAGTAGTGGAAACAGTGACTATATTAGAAAATTCTCCATTAACAAATGCTGGGTTTGGCTCTAATCTTACTTTAGAAGGAACAGTAGAATGCGATGCCAGTGTTATGGATGGTACAACATTACAATTTGGAGCAGTTGGTGCAGTTAGTGGAATAAAAAATCCTGTTTTATTAGCAAAACGTCTTTGTGAACAACAATCGATTAAAATTGCATGTGGTAGAATTCCACCAAGGTAAATTGTTATGTTTAAAACTATAATATGATTGTATTAAAACTAATAAAACAACTGCTTATAATTATACCATATATTAGTTTTCTAGTTGGGAATGGAGCACATGTATGGGCACAAGAAATGGGAATACAAACTTTACCTCCAGATCAATTAATTTCAAGTAAATGAAATAAAATTATATGCAACATAGAGAAATTTTTAATTACATTTATTCATTGACATTTTAGTGAAAGCTCAGAAGTTATATAAACACTATAAAAGGAAAGTGGAAGATTCTAACATAGAAGTTTACAATGTAAGTGATTTTTTATTCATATTTTTATGAACCACTCTAATAGTAATACAGCTTTACAATAATTAAAAATATAGTGTGTTAAAAAAAGAATGGATACAGTTGGTGCAGTATGTGTTGATAAACAAGGAAATATTGCTGCAGCTTGTTCCAGTGGTGGCATAATTTTAAAATACCCAGGAAGAGTAGGACAGGTACGATATTTTTTAAATACCATGATTGTTTATTACTTCTTACAAGTCTCATTCATTTATATTTTATTGAAAAAGATAAGATAATTATATTGATATCTAATTTCAAGGCTGGTGTATGGGGATGTGGTGCTTGGGCATACAAAGATAAATATTCAATAGGAACATGTACATCAGGTTGTGGAGAACACTTGATTCGGACTTCATTAGCGCGAACAGTTGCAGAAGCTATTTCAGATAGTCCTTGTCCCACTACCAGTTTGCATACCGCTATGAAAGTTGATTTTATCGGTGAGAACCCGTAATCACTTTATTATTATTTTTCAATGTGAAAAGTTTTCTTTATTTCAATATATAATGTGATTAATAAAATGTACTAATGTAGATTGATAAAGATTATCCTTTTTTTAGAGTCAAAATTTCTATGCGGACTTGAACAGAAACTGGGAGGTGTTATTGCTATACGATACGCAGCACAGGAAGGATTAGGAGATTTCTTATGGAGCCACTCAGCCAATTCAATGATAATAGGCTATATGAATTCTAGCGAACAAACACCAGTGGTATGTTTTTCTTGGTTTTATAGATCAAAAAAATATAAACAATATTTATTACATATTACATTCATTTTTACGTCTTCAGAGTCACATGTCCATTCTGCCATCTCACGAAGTTGGAAAAAAAGCAGTGGTTGAAGGAATATGTTTTAAAATTGGTGACAATATTGATAGTTGAAAATAGTGTTAATAACATACAACTAAAAGAAATTTCACCAAGATTGGACAAAGATATAAGGAGTGTGGAAGAAAAGACTCTGAATTTTATATTAATAATTCTTTATGTACATGAACTTAGAAATGAAAATTTCTTATTAAATAACTGTAACATCGGAATAAAAATATTTATAAACTTCCAATATCATTAAACCTCTTGAGCTTTTCAGGAAATATATCTTTGAACAAAACTGGATCTGCGCGAAATTCGACTGATTGTAGTGGCATAGATCCGTAAATTGAAGAGAATCGGTTTATGCATTGCGTACGTTCCATCATATGCGTTAAATCTGCCGAAAGCATTTCGGTGTTCGTACATTCTGGACATCGAAATTTCTTTTTCGGTGTTACCTATTACAAAAATGATTGTTCGATATTAAATGTATTAAATATTTAAAAGGAATTTTGATAAACATACCTTTATTGGTGCTTTTCCTGTAATATTTGCTACTAAAAAGTTCATAGCTATATCTTCACAATTCATATGTTCATCAACCCATTCTCTTATATCACCTGGCATAGCAGTAATATACATATAATTCCAATACTGAAATATTAATAAGTATAATAACATAATTTATTATATTTCATTATAAATAAAAAATAAAAAATATTATACTTCATTTTTATCAAGATGCTTGTAAGAAGGATATTAAGTAATAACATAACATTTTTTAGGAGTACAAAGTGTAATTTTCAGGAAAGGACTAGTATTCAGGAGTTGATGGACTGTGTTCTAAGGCCTGAAATGAGAATACATTAGACATTAAAGTTTCTTAAGTAGTAACGTATGCTACATTTGATTACTTTATGATGAAATGCAGCTCCAGTTAAAACCATAGAAATGCTATTAGTCCATTCACTTTCATATTTCCAACAATTAGTTCCATTATCCCATATGTGAATTCGAGAAGGAAAACCAACTATTCGATCTGGGAACTCCCTCCAAACCTATAAATATTTCTTTTTCACATGTTTTCTGAGTTTTTATATATATAATTATTATGAACAAACCTCGTAAGCAAATTCTACTTCATCGGCAGTCAACATTATAATATCATCATCTATCGATAAGACTGCTTCAGTTTCAATTTCATCATAAGGATAAAATCTGTTAGATAATTTATTTTCTTTTGTTTGTATAATTTTTAATGGTTTATTCAACTTTGGCCATTTAGATGCTATAGTATACAATTTTTTTAAATGTGTTTGTTGTTTCATTATTTGAACATTTATCGAATGGTACAGTATATTCAAAATTTAAACTTACAGTGTGGTGGATCTTTATGTTGATTGTTCCATATTACCAGAACTTTAGACAAACTTGGTACTTTAACAAGTTTATTGATCAAGAGAAACAACAATTCCAATCTATCATACGTTAGAATTACTGCAGTAAACCCTCGAGTTTTTGGTGCAGTTGCAGGTAAATAAAGTGGTGATGTAGTATCCTATATGTATAACATAAAATTAATTGTTTGTTTAAATGTATTAATATTTTATTAACTATTATAATTTATACTTTCCTTGTGTGGTGGTACGTTCCAAAACATATAGTTTTTAGCTAAATGCGGAAATACACGATCTGTAAGTATTTCTAGTGTAGTTAATGTTATTTTTTCCATAGATTGAAAATATTTCTCATAAAGCCATGCTCCTTGTTCTCTAAGTTCTGTAATTCGTTGTTGAGATACTTTTTTCAAAACGGGTATCATTGTCAGAACATCTACTTCGCGTATAAATATAGCAGCCCTTGATAAAAAATAGGTTTATTAGATATAACTTATTGAAGTGTTCTTATTCTATGTGACAACCAATAACACAATTGATTTTTACCTGGTCCAATCAATCACACCATAAAAAGGCATTATAAGAGAATCAGCTATAATTACAGGTATACTACCTGCTGCCATACATTCTAGAAGTGTACTCTGACCAAGTCTTGCACCACGAATCACTAGACAAAATGTTGCTGTCTAAAAATAATAATAATATAATATAATAAACTTCATCTTGTGCTATATATTTACGATTATGCTGTTATACTACTCCTTTAATATTTTATGTACTACATACTTGAAGTACGCTGGGATATTTATAAACATCTTCACCTGTACATCGAACTGTAGTATTCATAGAGGTATAATGTAAACATGGACCTAATATTAAAAGATCTTTTGGCGATATAGACTTAATTTCCATTAAATCTTGCTCAAAAGCAGAATTAATATTAATCTGAGATGAAATAACTAACCACATCCTAAAAAAATATAGTTAATAAGATGAGATACTACGAACAAATAAAAGAATATTATATGCATTACCTTGTATTATTAAAATATGGTTTAAAATTGTTTGTAAGAGAACTATATACTGGTAAACTAATATCAAAACCAAATCTATAAGTTAATGATGACATTCCTGCACCTGCAATCATTGCCTTTCCAATGGGTACATCAATGATTGTACTATAATCTGGCACACTTCCAGGTACCATATTAAATATAAGATGATTTTCTCCATTATTCCAACTGAAATTCATAAAAGTTATAGCAAACATATTTTTTTAAAGATAATATATAATTAAATGAGACGCACAATGGCAAGGCCTTCAGAGCTTGTGATACTTCATGCAACTTCAATCGGTTCTGATTTAATGTATCAATTGAAGGAATAAAAATACAAGCTTCATATGGATTAGGTGTGTAAAATTTACTTGAGATGATGGTACTTAAAATTTGATAAAATTCTTTTGTCATTTGACTTGTTATAGGTCTTTCTGAAGCATCCACATATATTTTTGGTGGATAAACATATACTAAAAGTTTATTTCCTTGACTACCGCAACGATAAACATTAAAACAACCAAAATATGTACAAGAGTAATTTGTAATATCTGCTATCAGAGAATCTGCATCCAACATTTGTACATGCAAAGAATTTAAGTCATTGAGAGATATGGTATTATGTACAGAATGTTTTTGTGTGTTTCCAAATTTGAAAATATGGTATGTTGCAATTAAAATAATGAAAAATGTAAATATTAACAAACATATCACAAAAACATTGTGATAATGGTATGAGATTCTATTTGTTTTATGGGACATTCTTGTTATTAGTACCATGTTCACTCTTTTTATTTCATATGTGTTGACACAATTATGTGTCACTTATTTTAATTGTACATTAAAAAATATGAAAATGCACAGAAAGCACGACACGTTTATGTATAAAGTAATTAAATTCGTTTCATTAAAATAGCAACACTGTCTTTATTTATTTATTTCTTCAGTCTGTTTGTGTGCATGTATATACATAAATATATTCTCTCGTTCTCATTAATCTCAACCATTTTTAGGTTATATTTTGATATACCAATTTATTTTTATTTGATCACTATTTCTAGTTTTAATAGATCAATACATTACTCGTGTGGAGATATCATTTATAGTTTACAGTATTCAATTTTTTTAATTATTGAAAAATAAAAGATTAGATGAATCGTATGTTTACAGGTGTTCGTATCATCACGATTGGACCAATCAATTGGTCACGAATTCACGATTGATAATACAATGCTGAATGAAAAGCTGAATGGTGCTGCATACAAGTTCACGTCGGTGGAACTATTTGACAAGAAATATGTCAAATTCATACTAAATTTAGTGTTCTAAAGAGGTTAAGTTTCATTTCAATGTTAGATCTAACAACAAATTTGTCCACATTTGGATACAATAAAGTATATAAATAGAAGTGATTTAGAATTTCGTCATTTCAGAACAGTGAAGAGAGGTTAAATTTCAGTTCAGTGTTATATCAAATTTTTCCATATTCGGATTGAACACAGTAAATTATATAGAAGTAACTTAGAATTTGGAAATTTCAGAGTAATACTTTTTAATATCCTTCAGATATTGTTACGTACTGTTCTTTCATTACATATATAACATATAATGAATCCCTTAACGTAAGTGCTTCTGTTTTGTTTGTAAAATGTAAATAATGTAATTGTGAAGAAGAATGTTAATTGTGTACAATATTTTCAGAAATGTAAAAAATATACAAAAACTTGGAGAACAAGAATTATATGGTAACAGAAAAACATCTTGGCATAACCAATACAAAGATAGTGCTTGGATTTTTGTTGGTGGTTTACCATATGATTTAACAGAAGGTGACATTATAACCATATTTTCCCAGTAAGTTCAGCCAAAATATTTATTCAATCTAATATCCAATATGTAAGTCATTATATAAGAACATAGATTTATTCAGAAAATATTAGTTATACTATTATATTATTATAGGCATGGAGAAGTGGTAAATATAAATTTAATTAGGGACAAAGATACAGGGAAACAAAAAGGATATGGTTTTTTGTGTTACGAGGACCAAAGAAGTACTGTATTAGCTGTTGATAATTTTAATGGCATTAAGGTATGAACATTTGTTACTTATCAGTTTTACTAAATTATTTTAATTATATTAAAAATTTCACGATTTGTAAAAATGTATGGAGTAATTGTTATGATAATTACATTCCTCAGATTTTAGGTAGAACAATACGAGTAGACCATGTAGCAAACTATAAAGCACCAAAAGATTCAAAGAATATTGATGAAGAGACTAAACGACTGAGAAAAGAAGGCTGTGCTCCAAAACATTTTTAATTATTAATAACATCACTATTTTTTATGTGTAATAAAGAATCATTGTTTCATATAAATCAAATTTGTATAAAATATACAAGGTGTTTAACAATAGGTATTCAAACTTGGAGGAATAATTATACATAACAAAATAAGGTTGAAATCAAGAATGAAAAAATTGCATTTGAATTTGAAAACAAATTTAATCACTCCTCAAAGTGTTGAGCATCTATTATAAAGTAGAATATAGGTATCACATAAAACCAAACAAATATATTTAAAAATAAAATATGTATTTTATGACTTGTACTGGACTCCATATCATTAATCACTTTTATTTATTCTACATTTCATTTTAATATTCATACATGAAATTAATTCCTTTAATACTTTGTATATTTTATAAATTTTACATAGTTTATCCTTTGATTTGCTCAAAATAATAAATATGATTAAAATAGACATATTTCACATTTAAAATTAAACATTTTTAACTTTTCAGGTTTATGACATATAACTATTAAAATTAATTTTGAAGTGGATAATTATGCATACAAAATGTTAATAAAATGTAGGCTATAATAATAGTACTTCCTATTTAAAAAAAAATATATTCTAGTATTATATAACTCTGGCAGTACTTCATACATATTACATTGGATAATTTTCAAAAAGATTCTTTTAAAACTTTTGTAGTCCAGCGAATCAGTTATTAAAATAAGAACAAGTTTTTCTTTATAAAAAAGCACAATGTAAATAGCTGAAATTGTAGTTTGATCATTTCTTGTTGTAGGATACACTATGAAAAATTTGTCATTAATTTTCGCATAACTTTATATAAAACAATAAAATAGTTTATCGTTAGTAGCGCATCGAATCAGTTGTTAAATTATTTTAACTTCAACGTTTAATAAATTATGTAACAATACAATGAAAAATGGCATTTAAAATATCATTAATTAAAGTTTATCACTTTTATTAAAATTTGCATCTTTTATCAATATTGATAAATAAAAATTTAAACGATTTTAATCTGGTAAATGAGTTCTTTGAAATTATTAGATTTTTTGGACAGAATGATATCAAGATGATCCGAATTCACTCATCCATTTTTCATATTTTTCTAAATCTTCTTGAGAAACACTTTTATTACATCTCTCGACAGCTTCATCAAAGTCCGCAGCGGATACAGGTAAATCCAATTCTTCTTTTGGTAGTTGTCTGATTTGATCAGGTTTTAAACCTGCAATTTTCTTTCGCATCGACATCATAGACGCATCTCTGTATAGAATACATATAAATTTATATATATTTAGAAATTAGAAATTGTGTGTAAGTAAATACATGGTAAACTGTGTCTGTTAGTTTACTTGCCTGCAAACGTTTGTAATATCTGCACCAGAATAACCTTCCAACTTTTTTGCGATATCTGCTAAATTTACAGATGTATCTACTTTTACTTCGCGAAGGTTAATTTTTAATAATGCCTCTCTACCTTCATCTGTGAATACATACACGAGCATTAAAAAATTAAATATAATATAAAATAAAAACTTTACAATCAAAATATCGTAGTACATACGATTTGGTAGTGGAATGTAAATACGTTTTTCCAATCGTCTTCGAAGAGCTTCATCAATGTCCCATGGAAAATTTGTTGCTGCCAGTACCATTACGACTTTACTTGGGTCTTCACTGAAAAAATAGTTTTATTTGTCCTTAATTGGTATAATCAAATATTATTTTTGGAACAGGTAATTAACTTATTAAGTATATACCACACTGTTACCTGTTTGAGCTTATGCCATCCATTTGAACAAGAAGTTCTGACTTTACTCGTCGAGAAGCTTCATGTTCAGATTCAGATCCTCTTCTAGAGCATAGGGAGTCGATTTCATCAATGAAGATTGTACTAGGTGCATAAAATCTAGCCTGTGTGGATAAATATATATGTTAAAACATGAAGAAAAATAATGTTACATAAAAATTAATTTACTATATATTTTTCAAAACATTACTTGTAACATTACATTAACTGCTGTTAATTGAAATTACCATTTCAAAAAGAAGACGAACAAGTTTTTCTGACTCTCCTCTATATTTTGAAGTTAGAGTAGAAGATGATACATTGAAGAATGTTGTTCCACATTCTGTGGCTACTGCTTTTGCAAGCATTGTTTTTCCAGTACCTGGAGGTCCAACCATAAGTACTCCTTTCCAAGGACGACGAATTCCCTTAAGATACAGTATATATTATATAAAGTGATGCAATGATACGAATTTGAACAAAATACCTGTATACATACTTTAAAGAAATCTGGCATCCACATTGGAAGTACAACAGCTTCTTCTAATAGTCGTTTTGCTTCATGCAAATCAGCTATGTCATCCCAATGAATGTTTGGATTTTTTTGAACAATATCTCTCTCTATGATATTAATGTAATCACAGAATAAGCAATTTAAATTTAGAATTATCAATGTACATGAACACATACATTACCTAGCAAATCTACTAGATCTTTATCATGTCCAGATGGTTCAAATTTCCGTTCTTCTACTTCTACATCAACCTTTTCAGTTTCTGATTTTTCCTGTAAAAAATATTAATAACGTTAATGTTAATACATTATAGGACTATTACATTGTATATGAAATTGCTTGTAGTAAAAATTAAGACTAACTTTATTCATATCTTCTTTTCGTAACACTTTTCTATCATCTTTCTTAACAATTGTTTTAGCATCTGATTTCTTTCCTGTAACAACTGATTTTCGTGTATTTGTACGATTTTGTTGTTTTGGTTGATTTTTCAGTGGTCTGATATTTCTAAAAATATATTTCTTTATATTAATACTTGATGGTACAAAATATAATGAATATTCTCTATTTAAAAGTGTTTTTCTACAATTAATAGCATAAAATGTATCTACACATTTTCTTTACTTTTGTTCTATGGGTGTCAAAGGTGGCCATACATCTGGATCTCTCCCCAAAGGTTGATTCCAAGAAGTATCTGAATTATTATAGCTCCATAAAGTTGGATCTCTCGTAGGTTCTTCAAATGATAAACATGAAGTACCTAAATATGTTTTAAATTTGATTATCTTAGTCTCATAAATATTTTTGGTACAAATTTACTATAAATAATGATAATAATACCTAATAGTCTTTCACTGTGTGTTTCTACTTTAAAAAGCTGTAGAGTATTTGATGTTGCCTTTACTTTTTCAAATTCTTGAACAATTTGATGTTGAACAAGTTGCCACTTGGCTTTTCGTGTAGCATCTACAATGCTTGCAAGTAATCTATGAATTTGCTGTACAACACTTTGATAGTAAACTCCAGACGTATCATAGTTTCCAGTTAATGCCATTTCCCGAGCCAACTTGGTATTTTCACATATCTCATTGATTGAAACTGCCATCATTCTTTGAAAATATGTATATTTATATATGTGTGCATATATTAGATGGAAAAGAGTATTGACACGTAGAAATTAATGATTTCAATTTTGAAACTTTTGAAATTAATTTAAAGTTAATAATTAAAAAGTGACATACTAATCTGTTAACATGAAAACATATAAGCTTATAATAAACAGTAGAAAATTATTTAACGTAATTTTACTAGTACATAATTACGTATACTTTTTTAAATAAAATTGCACATTTCAAACTCTATGTATCTAATCAAGTTTTCCAACTAGTAAACAGAAATTACATGTAACTTCTTACTGCGATGATTTTTTTATATAAACGTTTATGACATCACATATGATGCATATGAATATAAATCGAATTATTTTGTATAAAACAATGTGTCAAATATTAATCGTTAATTATTATCATTGATTGCAAATATTAAATGTATTTGAAAATGAGTAGTAATAACTCTGTACCATAAATAACAAATAAATTGCTTGCCAGAGGGCCAGAGCCAAACTCCGAGTTAACTTCGGTGACAGTTGCGGAAAAAATAGGAAGTTCACAGACAAGGATAGATAGATCTTTTTCTCTCCAGTGATGCTGCGATAGAGAGGGAGATACAACAATCGAAGGAGAAACAAGGATAGGGCGATAAGGCCTGATCCGAAATCGGCGGTCAATTAAGTGAGTGAGTACTAGGCTTTAGATACACACAGGGTGTCCCAAAAATGTTGTAACATCTTGAAAGGGGTGGTTCGGGAGGTGATTTGAAACAACTTTTTCCTTAGCGAAAATGTTGTACGAGACTTCGTTAAGCAGATATTAACAAAAAACCCCGACCAATCAGAGCGCGCGTATACCGTTGGAGCGGCCGCCTAGCGCGTAGCCTACGCTCTGATTGGTCGGAGTTTTCGCTTAATATTTCCATAACGAAACCTCGTACAACATTTTCGCTAAGGAAAAAGTTGTTTCAAATCACCTCCCGAACCACCCCTTTCAAGGTGTTACAACATTTTTGGGACACCCTGTACTTTACTAACGCTAAAACCAGTACGCATGCGCGATTGGGAGTAGAATCTGACATCACAGGACTGGGGGAAGGACCAGGAAGGACTTAACAAAAGAGCGTCGATTTGAAATGTTCTATCTTTGTTAATAGCGCAAATCATTCTAGACTGGTCTACGCACGAACTATTGAAAAGTGAACAAAATGGGAATGGTAAGGAGGCCAAAAAAAGGAAGACTAAGACGATTGTCTGTAAGGCGAAAAATGTTACGTTTGCGCAACCGCCAGAAAGAATTGCGCCATGCCCGTCTAGCTAACTTGCAATTAGGTATGTGAGAATTGAGCTACTGTATAACTATCAAAAAAACAAAAAAACCTAGTATACACTCGTATACACAAATATATGCGGTAATGCGGTATAATTTACTCGAATTTGTTCATCAGTCACCATATTATTATTTTTCGAAGTTGCGGTCTTTTTAAAATTTGTAGAATTATGAGAATTCAATGTGAATTTTACATTTAATGGTTGTATTTCTATTATTTAAATTTCTTAAGACATTCATGTTTAACTAAGAAAATTAGTATCGCGATGTAAAGTATAATATGAAAGTTGATATTCACACTATTTAAGAAAATTCAATTAAAAGAAACTCCTTTCATGGATTTTGCCTAATTGGATTAGTTAAAGTTATAAAGTAAGAAACATCATAATTATATTGTATATCTATCTTTATATTTTGTCATGCATAATTATGTTATGTACTAGTATTCTGTACATGAGGTTATACTTGGTTATATGCAAAACTAATTTATTATATACAGTGTACGTGTTTTATGACAGTCCTGCAATGAAGTATTAATATATGAACAAATAAAAGCATAAAAATTGTTGAAATAATACCTATAAATCATATCATTTATAATGTTGTATTTTTATAAATTTATAATTTAATACTATAAAATATTTATTCCAATTAACATTTTTACCTATAATTATTTTATAAACATATAAAATTATTTGAATAAACATTTTTTTTAATTAGATATGAATCGATTACCAATGCATGAAGCACTTAAGCCATTAGCATGGCTAATGGGTACATGGCAAACTGAAAGCACTGGATTTGGTAAATATCCAACAATTAAACCTTTTACATATTGCGAAGAAATTACTTTTGAATCAGTTGGTCAACCAATGTTAAATTATACTGCACAAAGTTGGCATTCAGAAACAAAGAACCCATTGCATTTTGAAGTTGGTTTTTTGAGAATAATTCCTGATACAAACAAAGTATGCTTAATGTTGTCACATAATTTTGGTGTAACAACCATTGAAGAAGGAGTAGTTAATGGCACACTTATTAAGTTAAAAACTACCAGTATTGAAAGGCCAACAGAAGGAGGAAAGCCAACTATAGTAACAGAGGTATAATTATTTAAAAAAAGTAATTTGATAAATATATAAATATTTCTAATTATTCTTTATTTCAACAGCTGCAAAGAGAATTCCAACTTCTTGGGGATTCCTTACAACACAAATTGTACATGGCTACTTCAAAAACACCAGAATTACAGGAACATTTGTGTGCAAAATATATTAAGAAATGTTATTAGGTTTTATAAAATACAACAAACAAAGATGGACATTGTAGCTAAATGGTTTCATCCATTTGCTGTAAATAACAAATTGAATTTGATCTAAAATAAAGAGATACTTTTTTATATGGAATCTAGAATACAAATATTTCGAATTGTGAAAAGGGATTAACTAGGTGTTATTGCTTTTCCTATAAACCTCTTGATTAAATCATCTATTTATCTTCAGTAGCATAGTTAAAAATGATGTATGCTGTTTTATGTGCGTGCAGTGCCACACAAACATGATACAGGGTTATAAAGTCGCCTCAAAGATTTATTTACTGACAGAAACAGAATTGAGTTACATTCTTTTAAATACATTTTATATACATTGACCCATGTATTAAAACCTAAACCCTCTTTTTTGCAACCTTTATGAATAATACCATATCTGTAAAACAAAATATGAAAATAGTTATTTTGCAGGTAATAATAAAGTACTGCTTTAATTTTGTTGTAAAATATACTACAATACTTACTGAAAAATACAACTAAAACAAATGCTATCATCACCCACATCCAACATCGCCAGTGCGATGAAGTATGTTCTTGCAGTTTTAATGATTCTGTTTTTAATTTAGCTGTATTTGAATCGGTTAGCTTATCAGATTTTTCAAGTAAACTGATATCTTTTTTTATAATAGCGTTTGCTGCTAAAGCATGTTCTTTCATGCTACTAGTCATTGAAAGCATATTCTCTGCAATTTTCTCTTGAATATTTCTGTTGTATTTTAAAAGCATATCTAAATCATCATCTTGCATACTTGTACTAGATAATCTTTGTCTTACACCATCTTCCAATGACCCTTAGAAATACACACTTATATTAAAAAAATAATAAATATTGAAATAATAATATAGTGAATAGCAGTTTAAATAAGTACAGTTCTAAAATTAAGTAAATGAACAATCAAAATGTTTATATGAAAATAAACGGTGCTTGTTCAAACCATACTTAGCCATATATTTAAATTAAATTTAGTTACCTTTATCAGTATAAAATAATTCGTTTCGTAATTCTCTATTATATTTTGCTGAAGTTTTCTGATGTATTTGCGTTGTTATGTTTGGGCTCAATGAATCGTTGAATGTTACAGAATTTTTTGATAACATTTGTACTGCTACTACTCTGTCAACTGGATTTGTGAGTTTTGTGGTATTTATTAATCCTTTTAAGAAATCTATTCTCGTAATATAACTCATCAATGTATCTTTAGATGGTTTACTAGAAAATAATAGTACAATTTTCAACAACTCTTATTGTTAAACATAAATCTCATAGTAATGATATTAACTTACTTGGGTAATGTTTGGAGTTGCTTTATCATATCATCTAAAGCAAGTATATACTGAAACAATGAATGCATTTGCTTTAAATAAATTATTTTAATTTTAAGTAATATTAACGACACAATAATGACAAAATATTCAGTTTCCCAAACCTTTTCAAGTTTCCAATCTTTATGTGGATCATCTTTTGCCATTAATTCGCATCTTGCTAAAAGTCGTCTAACATTAATTTCTTCTCTTGACATTAAAGTCATTTTTCAAAATATCTAAGAACTGGTTTGAAATGTATATAAGTAGTACTTGTCAACTAACAGTCATATGTTTTTTTACACCAGTTTATGCCACTTTAATTCGAGATTTCGGAAACAATTCATTATCGAAATTTGAATTCAGTTGTAATTATCATATATAATTAGACGATCACAAATTAGAGATAGAAACATTATCATATATTCCATATGATCGTCTAAAATTGACTGCAATTGACTGTAAAGAGAATTTATTTATGATGTACGTAAATTTTCTAGGGAAATGTATCCATCGCACATTAAAAATAATATTTCGTAGTTTTTAAGTTTGACATTGTCAATATTCAAAAATTGTGATAATTTATGATAAGCAACGTGTTTTGAAGTGTACAATTATCTAAAGTAAATATTAAGAAGTATAAATTGTCTATTCGTTATCGTACATTTTAAATATACCGCTACGAATTCGTCACTAGATGATAACAATTTGCTGTATTTAAATGAACCAGTACTCTATGTACAAAATGCATTTTTTCAGTCAACCACGAGTAACTAACTTTATCGGTAAACGTCTTTCGCTATTATAAGTAGTATAATTGTGGATTTTATGTATTTGTGCCGTATCCTGTAAATGTAGTAATTTCACGTTACGCATGGAATGTGTAAGGAAGTTTGATTGGGAAGTTTATAACGCGCTAATACAGATACTGGGTGAAATACGATAGTGTAGATAGCGATTGACGTTGGCATTCATCATTTTGTCATTTGGGGGCCGATCCCAGTGCATTTCTCCGTAGGTTGACAGATTCGCTAAGATGGCTGATATTAAAGATTCTCTACCGCTCTTTGACACTAACGAAACAAAAATCGACGACTTGGATGACGACGATGAGGATATTTTCGCGTCGGCGGTACAGGTAATTTTTGTATTGTCACCGGACATCTGCATAAAAATTCTGCAAAATAACCATCGCTTTTCATGATTCATTTGTTTTTGTAACGATTATAGTATTTGTGCTTGTTATCAGGAAATAATCAATTTAAGCGGATAATCGTTTTATTTTCATTTCAAAGTCCTTTGAAATGGAATTTAATGTTATTTGAATGTAGGATCAAAGCCAACTGGAAGATTCATCTCCTTATAACGGAATATCCACAATTCAAGGAGGATTACCAAAGCTGACATTGCGAGATGCACCAGAAGAGAATTCATTTTCATCTGTATCAAGCCCTGCACCAGGACCTTTGAGTCCGCCATTGGGACCAATAAGTACCGACATAGGTGATCTCCATGATGTTCCCATAAACGATAATGCAGACATGCTCCCAACAAGTGTTATACAGACTCAACCAGTAGATGTGGTACATGTTATATTATTTAATATTTACAAAGTACTAAGAAACATATAATGTTATAATATTATATTTACAGGTGTCAACAGATTCGTCTGATGTTTTTCTAAAAATCACGGTAACTTCCCCTCAAAAAATAGGAGATGGTATGGGTGCTTATGTTGCCTACAAGGTTGAAACAAAAACAAATATGCCAATATTTAGAAAGAGAAATTTTAGCGTCATTAGACGTTTCAGTGATTTCCTTGGCCTTCACGATAAATTGACAGACAAATACCTTAGAAATGGTAGAATAATTCCTCCTGCTCCAGAGAAGAGTGTTATTGGTATTGATACAAACTTTTTAAGCCTTTTTTGATTACATTGTTTATTTATGACTCAAATTATCACTCTATCATTGTTGAATAAAATAAATGAAACAATTTGTATAATTAGGAACAACAAAGATTAAAATGTCTGGTGACAAAAGTCAAGAACAAAATTCTAGTTCCACAGAATTTCTTGAAAAACGCCGAGCTGCACTTGAAAGATACTTAAACAGAACTGCAACTCATCCAGTGCTTAGCGTTGATCCTGATTTTCGGGAATTTTTGGAAGCTGGTAAATCATAATATAAAACAAAACATTTTTGTAAATATAATTATGTGAGTTAATTTGTGTGTTTTTTTTAACAGATATGGAATTACCTAAAGCTACTAATACATCTGCACTTAGCGGTAAAGGAGTAATGAGACTTTTTAACAAAGTTGGAGAAACTGTTAATAAGATAACATACAAGATGGATGAAACTGATAAAGTAAAATTCAAAGAATTTAATTTCGTCTAATAATGTTTGTTACAATAGAATATGGAACTGACTATATTATTTTTATTGTATTTCTATTTATACAAACAAATTAAAATAATACTTTTTATTTGTTTATTTTATAGTGGTTTGAAGAGAAGACATCACAAATTGATTCTCTTGATGTACAATTACGTGCATTACATTCAGCTGTTGATACTTTAACTAATCAGAGAAGAGAGTTAGCAACATGTACTGGTGCATCTGCAAGATCTATTGCTGTTCTCGGTCATGGTGAACCAGGACCATCTTTGGGAAGGGCATTGGCTCAGCTGGCTGAGACTTTAGAAAAAGTTGAAGTGGTCAGAAAAGCACAAAGCAATAGTGACCTTTATCAATTTGGAGAAATGTTAAGAGATTATGTTGCACTCATTGGAGCAATAAAGGTGAGTGTTCAATTTATGTTTAATTTCTGGCATTTGTATCGTATTAATTTGAAATAATATGTCAATTTTAGGATGTGTTTCACGAACGAGTAAAAGTTTTTCAAAATTGGCAACATGCTCAAATGATGTTAACCAAAAAACGAGAACAGAAAGCAAGACTGGAACAGTCTAATAGAATGGATAAAACAAGTCAAGCTGCTACTGAAGTTATAGAGTGGGAAGCAAAAGTTGACAGAGGACAAGAAGAGTTTGACAATATATCAAAAATGATTAAGAAGGAAATAGAGCGATTTGAGTTAGTAAGAGTGGAAGATTTTAAGAAACAATTAACAGAATATTTGGAATCTATGTTACAATACCAAAACCAACTTATTAAATATTGGGAGAGCTTTTTGCCTGAAGCTCGAGCAGTTGCATGAACATTCCTAAATAACGAAACTTTTTTTTAATCTAATGATAAGGGAAATCAGCAAAGAAAGATCATTTTCATGCATGTTTTTGAAATAAATTTCCGAATGATGAAAAATACTTGCGAAATGCGTTATTTATCAACTTGCGGTACGATATCATAGTAGAATAATATTGTACGCGAGTAATCAGAAATATAATAAACATTAATTTCGGAATGCTGCCGATGCTTTTATGAATTTGAAAGCAACAATTAATATGGCATATTTCATTAAAACTTTTGGCCATTTATTTTATGCCAATTATCTCTCGGTACATCATGCGTTTATCGTCTTCTTACTATTAGTTTATGTTAGAAGTATATAACGCATAATACGGTTTGTTAAAAAATGTTATATATGATAATAAAAATTGATTAAGATTGTATAAATAGAGAGCATTAAATATCTATTTGTTGAAACAAAGTCTAATGATATAATTAACGTTATTAATTGAATTTATGATTTCCATATTATTTTTAGTATAATAAATAAGTATTCCAATTATATTTTTATTGAACTCAATATAATTGATGCTACGTATTTCTACAAAAGTATAGAATGAAGAATTATTTTTTTACATGTTAAAAACATAACTATAAACTACAATAAAGTCAACTCGTCACAAATGTCTATACTTATTTTATTTATTAAATATATTTCACTAAGATGTAATAAACTGTTATTGCAAATATAGTACAATCTTTTTGTTATATTTTAGAGCTTATCAAAACACCTTGTAGAATATGTAACATGTTTGGAAACACTATTGAACATTTCTTCCAGTGAAATCTTTATAGGAGTTACTATACAATTTTCTGCATTATTTGATATTTTGATGTAAAAATAAGTAATGCTTATCTAAAATTTATTTCGTATTTTGTATGGTGATAAAATTGTAACGAAAAATATCCTGTTCTAGAACTTCAAAACAATGTGAAACATACCAAGATTAACAAGTAATATCTAAGAAATTTATTAAATAAATATGTTTGCTTCAAACGAAGTATCAATGAATCCTTTATTATTTAAAATTATTGAAGATTACCGCTTCTGTTCAATGTAGTGAGACAACAGAGCAATACCAAATTTAAATATGTTATACACTGCTCTGTTTTACACAGGATCCCAATGAGCTTCAACGAAAGAAAAAGAAGTTTGTCTCTTATTTTCTAAGAAACCAGTTTATCATATCTTACGTTACACGAGACACCCTGTATAAGGCACCTTCGATGGTAGTATCGCATAGGAGTGATCGAATCGTATGTTTTATTAAATTGGTCAGCATGGTTTAGTATACAGAATTGACATAGTGCGATACAAACGTATCGACCTTTTCATGTGTGTCATGTAACGTGTCAGTGATCATGAATTAAATTAGGTTATCAATTATTTACCGTCGGTAATTGCAGTTGACAATTAACGAAATTTGTGGATGAATTTCGTTGCGATTTATAAAAGTGTTTTGCATACGTGGCAGAATTTGCTACCAATCAGAAAACGCGGGTTTTGATAGGCGTGGCTTCGAACACGTATACTTGCCTCTACGTCCGGCCGCCATAATTTTTGAGAAGAAATCGTCGTGCCGTGAATTCTTGTCGGGATTCTCTGTAGACAAACACGGTCCGTTGTTCATTTTACATTCCTTGGCGGAAGCAATCTACTGGAAATATTTTCAGTGAGCGGTGTAAGTCCAACAAGTATTCTGATTTCATTATTTTAATACAATGTTAACGGAATACAAATCGTTTCGGTTGTTCTACCGATTCGGGAATTAACGTAGAAGAATTCGGCTCATCTCCGGCGATTGGGTCGATGATCCGCTTGTCATCCATATGTCATTTTCATGGTACATCTTGAAACTTTCACCTGGTGAATTATGCTATTGTAAACCATTTCGTGCCACATTATTACGTACTACGAGCTGTGTGGAATGTACACGAACATTCTGTGAAATATTTGTTATATCAGTGGAGTTAATTCATGATGCGTGTTTCATTCGATTCAAATATCCATTTCAATTGATTATACGTATTATTTATGAATAATACTGTATATGGTGATAATGTCTACTAGAAAAGAAATAGTTGACACAGGGAATTAAAGTTACTCCAAATTTGTTGCGAACAAGTTGTAGTAAGAACTATATGGTGTAAGGGAGGGTGTAGAGTTTTAAGCAGTTACATGTCCAGTGAATTCTTTTACTATTAAATGATACAATTTTGAGGGATTATAGTTTGATATGAATCAACATTACAAGAAGTGAATGATAATAAAAATTTTGGATTTTTACAGATAGGGGATAGGCAACATGGATCTCCAAACAGGATTAGTTTATGTGGCAGTGGTAGTTGTTTCTGCAGTAGTTATTGTTTTAGTATCAATGTTTGGTATAAAAGAAAAATCTTATGAAGAAGCAATAGCAGAACAGAGAAAACTTCCTGATGATCTTTTATTGAGTATGTATATTTTACTATGTAATGAAACTAGCATAAAGATATATCAGTGCCAACAAATGTGTTCGTATTGTTTGTAGGTAAAAAAGATAAAGGAAAAGAAAAGAAACATAAGAATAAGGCAGGAAAGAAAGTGAAAGAAAAGAAAGAAGAAAAGGATGAAAAAGATGACAGGGAGGAAAAGTCTGAGCATGTCCAGTTTGAAGAAAACCCTCAAATATTGCCTTTAGAACCATTAGTACGGGTAAGCACATTTATAACATCTGTCATTTTCATTATACCACATAATTCATGCAGATACTTCCCGCAAAGACATTTTTTTTATATGCATAAATATTGTCTTCTCTGAAATGTTATGGAATAATTGGTATTGATTGAATTTTCTATTTATATAATGAAATTATGTTTTGAAATATGTAATATGATTGTCAACATAAATCAAAGTAAAACTAAAAAAACTTTAACGAAAATTCTAGCCTTTATGTTAATCATTTATTTAATTAAAAAATTATGGGTATTTTTTCATTCTTTAAAGAATGTAGTATTTAATTTTGATCAAAGATAATTATTTATGTCATCATTAATAAGAGTTCTTCTGTAATTTTTCAAATGCTCATTGCATGTTAAGTACTTGTCTGTTAACAATCATTGCATAACTATAGAACTGAAAACTCATCCGCTTTGTTATTCTTACATTTTCATGTTTCTCGCATGAAACAGTATGCTCACATATTGTGTGTCACACTTGTACGTCATTTAAGGTCTTTCTATTCATGGAGTATCACATTTCTGTCTGGGTATCACACATTTATAAAGACTAATTGTTGCATATTAATATAATTCTTTAAAATAATGTATACCATTACTTCTCATATACATCTAATATACTATTTCATGTAAACTAATAGAGTTAACTTGTATGGTTTAAAGTAACATTTGTGTACCTAATTGTTGACCTCTTTTTTTTCAATAAATGTTACGATTTGTTTTTGTTCCTTGTTAATTATTGTGCTATTATTGTATTTTTGTTTTCAAACAATATATTATTTTTAAGGATGTAAATTAGTGCTAAATAACTGCACACTCCTATATCAATGTAAGAAACTAATTAATGTTTTCCATGTTTAATTCTACAAAGTTATGATAATTTCTTTTTGTTACATTTTATGTATATTATATTATATTATATTCAAATGGACATCTTCTTTTATGGAAAATTTACCTTAAGCTTTATTTGTTGGTCAACAAATTATGTAGGAGATCATAGAAAATAAAATTGATGACCAAGTGATCTTCGTTTGTTATGTATGTATTATATGTATAGTAACACACTTTTTAGCACTTTTTGGCACCTTTACAATTTTTCTTATAATAGTATATTCTTAATTCTATCATATTACATTTTTGTTGAAATCATGCCCTGGTGAGTCGATTGATGTCATTACATCCAGTATATAGTAAAATATTCTTATTAGAATGTTTAATTTGGCTGTTTGACCGAAATTTATGTATAACCTCAATGAATATTTGATATGTCTCAAATGTAGAAACAGGGGAAACCTAGTAATCTCAAAGTAAAATTAAAATGAAAGATAAGAAATTTTAATACGATACAATATAATTTATATATAGCTAAAGTTCCTTTTTCGTGTATGGTCCATTGATAAACAGTTCTAGAACCTCGAGATTAATTTCTATAAATAACTGTTCCACACACTATGATATTATCTTACTTTTACTGCTACCTTATCACGTAGATTAAAACTAAGTAAAATAACAAAAAGTTGTAATTTCATGAGAAACTCCTTAAAAACATTTATACACTTTTAAATATTTTTATTATGCATTTATTGGTAAAAACATTATTGTTGAATGAAAATGATTGTTTTTACTACTGTTTTATAAGTATAAAATATTAATTAGAAGTATAAAATAATTTTATGCTAAAATATAAAGATTTCATAAAGGTAATGCAGTGGATTTATCAATTTCAGGTATATATGTATACCAAGAAATCAAAATAAATACAGTTTTAAGATGAAAAGTGAATTGGTAATATATGTATATACATACAAATAAAGTAAAAGATATTAGATATAATTTTGTATCGAAAATTAATTATTTTACTAATTAGAGTTGAACTTTAAGAATTCTTAATTATTTTGTAGGCTAATATTAATATACATTGAAATGAATTTCAGTAACTTTTTTGTCCATTTTAATATAATGTAAAATCACATGTGTATCATTGTGGGTATGATACCTTTTCATTTGTTGTTTTTTCAATACATGGGAAACATTCTATATATACATTGGAATTATAGGAGGGTAGCAAAGGAAGTAAGAAGAAAAGCAAGTTTGAAAAGGTAAAGCCAATTCTTGTAAATAAAGATGAGCCACTGGTTATTGTGACTGAATTAAGTCCTTCGCAACCTCCCTCAGTGGAGACTAATCATTTTGACCTCATTCAACCAAAGGACGACCTCGAACTCATAAGGAGTTATAGTGTGAGTGAATTGCTTTTGGTAGAATACATAATATTGTATGCATTTCATTCACTTTTAATACATTGCTAGCTTGCCGCTTCTATAACATAAAAACCATTATGTTTAAGTAGTATTAATGCTTACCTAATAATACCTAAGGATTTCTCAAATTTATGTACAGTGAGTCACTGAAGTATTTGTACTGAAGTATGTCAGATAATTTGAAAAATGCCATTAAATTTAATTATAGCATAATAAAATACAAAAACAGAATATCTATTGTATAAGTACACATACTTGTGCGAATCACTATATGTTTGTGGTCTTTGGACAAATGGATACTCAACTTATTAAAAAGTATTTGGTAAATGGGAATGTGAAGACTAATATTCAAGTTGTTCTAAATTTAGTATTTTTCTTTTATAATATTTCCAGCACAGTAGAAAGTTATTTTAATGTTTTAATTACATACTTCTGTTAAGTGTGTGATTTTATTAACAAGTTATTTAATAAAATAGTAACTCTTGAATTTGATTATCATTTTATAAAATCTAAACAGTTTTTAATAATGTTAATGTTTTCCTTCTAAAATAGAAGGAAAATCTGCATCAACTCAATCAATCTGAGCCAATCGCAAATAAGTCACCAAAGGAGACTCCAACAAAGACAAAGAAAAATGCAAAAGACTCTGTGAAGAAGAAGGATGAAAATATTAAGGAAGAAAAGAAAGATGAGAAAAAAGAAACAACTATATACGTTAATGCATCACCAGTTATTAATAAAGATGCAAAGGAAGCAAAAGAAATGAAAGAACAGAAAGAAACTCCAGTCAAAGATGCAAAGGAAGCAGTAAAAGAAATTGCACCTTCTACTCAATCAGCGAATAAAGAATCTAAAAAGACAAAGAAGAAGAATGATATCTTAGCTCAAATTGGTAGGTGAATTGATCAATTGCTTCTTTTATTAATCCATTTTCATATTAATTTCATAGAAATTAAAAGTGGTCGTATGTCTATTAGTTTTATCAAATTATTCAATAATAATATTCACATGTATTAAAAAGATATTGTAAAGTGATTTAAAGTACTAAAAAAAAATAGCTAAATATGTCTAAGTTTAGCAAGGAACCTACCCTGAGTACAGTAAAGCAGATTCCACTGAGTGCTTTGGAATGTGGCTAAGGTATGGTTGATTCCCCTTCTCTCTTTCCAGGTCAATGTCCTTAGTGTCAAGGTCATTCCTTTACAAGAAATAACTTTTTATATATTTTATGTTATTATAAAAGAAAAAACTACATTGTCTGGTAATCAGACAAACCGGTTTTCTTTTAATGTATTATTTTATTATTGATATTTGCATTTAGATCATAATTAATTTAAGAATAAAAAATGAAATTACAGAAATTTTTATTCTAAACAATATTTTTATTTTAGGTGGAGACAAAGATGCCGTTAACGTATCTCTTTTGATGCCTTTGGTTCAAAAAGCTGAACTTAGTCGTTCTGAAATACAAATTCTCATAGATCAGCTTTTAAATAAACAACTGGATAATCCATCGGAACATTCGGAGTGGACAGAAGGTCGGGCAGATCCGGTTATTAAATTAAAAAAACAACTGGCAGAAAAAGAAAAGGCTCTCGCCGATGAGCATGAAGCAAATATTGCATTTCAAAATAAACTGAAAGAAATGCGAGCTGAACTTAATTCTGAGAGGTCTAGATTAACTGCTAATGCAAGACAACTAGAAGAAGCATTAAATGCTAAGGTTACAGAAACTCAGACTTTACACACACGTATGCAACATATTTTGGAAAGTCATGCTGCTGAAAAACAAGGCTTTACAAGGCAGATCGAACAATTACAAACTAAAGTAAATGAAAATGCAGCAATTATTCATAAAATGCAAGAAGATCAAGGGCAAACTCAAGGTCATTTACAGCAAGAATTGATTGCACAGCGTAAACAAATGGAAGTACAATTTGCACAAATGCGTGACACTGAAAATGCATTAACAGCACAGCTAGCTCAAAAACATGCAGAAATACAGGAATTGCAAAGCGAGTTACAAGCAACTTGTGAAAGTAGTACTGCTGAAATAGAAATGTTACAGCAACAATTAGGACTTATGCAAGGCCAGTTAATGCATTCAGAAGGACAATTGCAACATTTCAAAGAAGCGGGTGATAGATTGCAAGACGTTGCTAGACAACTTGAGGTAAGGAGAATGATACATTATCGATTTTGTTAAAAATCTTAGAAAACCAAGGTTTAATTGATTTATTTGATTTCATTTATTGATTTAGTAATTTAATAATTTACTAAGATTTGCATTCATGTATGTAGGAATCTCACCGTGCTAATGCAGATCTAGATCATAGATTAAAAAATGCACATCGTCATGAGCAAGACCTCCAAAAACAAGTAAATTCGTTGCAATCAGAATTGAATGCTATAAAGGCGGAGGCTAACGATGTCTCTGCATTAAAGGCCGAATTGAACAAATCCCAGTCTGAGCTAGTAAAATTAAAATCTGAATTGTCAGTGTCATTGAATGAGTCAAAATCTGAAGCAATTGAAATTGCAGCTCTTAAGGCAGCACTAGCTAAGAAAGAAGAAGAGTTGAACAAATCTCAGGATGAACTTTACAATATACGAATTGAGTTAAAACAATCAATGGAAAATGTAACGCAGTTGGAGGCAAAATTAAATGCTGCACAGAAGAAAGTAGATATGACAAATATTGAATTTGAAAAGACAACAGGAAATCTAAAGAAAATACAAGATGAAGTTAATGGCTATCAATCTGACATGCAGAAATTAAAGGAAGAATTAAAACAGAAACAAGTTGAATTAGAAAACACTCGTGCAGAAATCCCGCCTACAAATGAAACAGCAAATGAAGTGAATAAGTTACAAAGCAATGAAATAAAATTAAATGAGACACAATTACAGATTTCACAATTGCAAGAAGAAAATGATAGACTTTCTACGCAGGTATTATTCTTACAACATAAGTAGTGCCTATTAAGGACGAATTTGAATTACATTTCATTTTATTCGCACGTAATTATTTTTTAGCTCACGAATTTCACAGAATTGCAGAAACAACTTAAACAATTGCAAGAAGAAAATGAATCATTAGCTTCACAATTAGCGGCTACCACTGAACGACCAGCTGCAGAGGGTCGAGAAAATGGAATCGACGAGAAGGTTCAAAAGAATGTGCAACTTGTAGAACATGCAAATTTGTACGTATATGTATATATATTTATAAAACTCATGGTTCAACATTCAAATATTTATATGTGAATTGTTTTTGAAGGTTGGCCCAAAAGGAAAGTCAACTAAATGCCTTAAAAGTAGAATTAACGCATAAAGAAGCAGAACTTAATCAGTGGAATGCTGAAGTTAACGCATTACGAAGCGACATAAATTTTCATTATAATGTTGCTGCCCGATTAGGTGATGATTTAAAAGCACAAAGATCTAAAACTAAGGTAAATTGTAACGTATTTTTGGATCGGTCCACGACTAAGAATGCTTTCAGTTCAGATGTGTTGATATTATTAAAATGTAAATGACACCCATAGTCAAATATTTCTATACATTTTCTTTTCTGTATATTGGTGCAATTAGTCTCTAAGTTTATGTATAAAGTATTTTATATTTGACTATAACATAAAGTTTTTGTGGTTGAAATAGGAGTTACGTTTACAAAACTTGGAAGTAATGGAAGCTCTTTCTGCTGAACTAAAAAAGAAAAATGTAATTGACAAACATACAGAGTTGGAAAAACAAAATAAAAACTTGCAAGACATGGTTTCACATTATAAACAAATCATTAACGATACAGTAGGTATCTCATTACTTATGGTAAATTAAATTTATTCGTATTACATTTATTGATTACAAACTTACAGGAAGGTATGCTCAATACACTTCAGAGTCATGTAGAATCAGCAGAAACAAGATGGGAGTCTCAACTTCGGCAAAAAGAAAACGAAGTTGCAAAACTTAGGATTGAGTTCAATGAACTCAAAAATAAGTTAAATTCACACGACATGGTAGATTTCTAATCTTTATATGTATACAGAGTATGATGGAATGGATGGCACAACCGAGAAGGGAGTAATTTTAGTTTTTAACCAACTTCTTGTGATAACATTTTCTTCGTTTTCCGGTTTATCTTGATATGTAGAATCATCTACTATGCGGTTGTACTATCCGTTCTCCACACCCTGTATAAATTTAAAAGTGAATAAATTAGAAAATTAAACAATTTTATAACGTGCATATAGTTACAGGAAAAGGTAGTAGAGTTGGAAGCCAGGTTAAAAGAGACAGAGTCTCTTAATGAACAAGCTAATGCTGAATTATTGGCACTTAGATCTAGACCAAAATTAGTTTCAAGCGGAGTAAATACCCATGATTTAGGAGCAGTGGAAAAACTTCAAGAGGTAAATGATTCCAAAAAGAAACATCTGTATATTATATAGGAATATGTAGGATGAGTATTATTCTTGTTTTTTTTAAACTGTACTTGTTGCAGGAAAGAGCGCGGTTGTCAGAAGAACTTCAGTCAGAGTGCAATAAGAGGGCAGCATTAGATGGAGAAGTGAATAAGTTGCGTTCTTTAGTTACGCAACTTCAGCAAGAAGTATCGCAATGCAAGGTATAAAATATTTATCTCAATAATATGATATTTAAACAAAAATTATTATAAACAAATAATTGTAGAATATTTTAATATTTCTAAGTAGTCAAAATTATTAAATTATATTCTTTAATTTTAGAATGAAGTTAGCGAAGGTTGTAGCAGTTCAGAACAGTCAATCTTAAATGGCCCACCAACTTCTGAGTGTCCTAATTCCGAGGTTAGTATACGTTGACTTTAAACATTTTATAAGTAATTGATTTTTGTCCAGTGCTTTTTCCACAAAAAGTCATAAAGCTTATGTTATAGCTGTAACAACAAAAACTACGGCTATAATGTAAAAATTTGAAAAACCACGCGATATCGTAAAACATTGATATTACGTATTCATTATAATCAATTTCTGCAAATGATGACTAACAAATGATCTTTGTGTTTATTATTGTTTCACTAAATGTAATAATTGTATGGTAACAGCTGCATATACGGATATTATTTTGTAAAAGTCAATTAAGTATTCTAAGAGTTACTTCTTTTTAATAAAAAAGTATAAAATTTATTTAATGAAGCGTCTTTCAGGTTTTTATCATATTTAATTGTCTTTTACAGAGTACTATCCACAAGTAACTTATGTTTATTAGATGTATATTAATCATGTTAATAAATTAATGGGGAATGCATAATAATCATATTAAATAAGTTAAATTTTATTACATTTTATTTTATTAATAGTAACAGCAGAGAAGTTCAAAGAGTTTTATTACAGAATTTTATACTTGTTTATAATATTTATCAAACTTTTAAATAAATGCAAACCTATATGTGGTATTATTGTGTATACGTTATGGTTTAATTTATACAATTAAAGTTTTAGTTCATCATTATTTAAATCGAATAAGTGTTATCTCAAGTTATTCGATAATGCCACATTCTATTACTATCTAAAAATTTGGTGTATCCAGTGAACTTTTAAAGGATATAAAGTAAACTTTTATTAATGTTAAAAAATGTCGCCGTTCTATTAATACTGTATCCATAACTTCGTATTTAGAAAAGAGACTATTTCTGAAACGACAATTTTGAAAATTTTCCTTTATCCTTGAATACAAATTTGATAAATTGTCGTTGCATAATATAATGTATGGAGAATTAAATAATAATATATCTGAAATGCAGCCCCCGCTAGCAGCACAGACTCTGATAGCTGCATTAGAAAATACTCTTCTCAAGAATACAGAGTTTGCAAATTGTTCCATAACCAAGCCCATCAATTTGGTTCAGTCTCAACAAGAAATTGACAACAGACCCCTTTCCACAAAATACTCCTCCAATTCTTGTCATATGACAGATCACAACACACAGGCTAGCTGGAATTCATTGATAGGCCAGCAGCATAGAAAGAACAAGAAAAAAAGGAAGGTAAACTTAAAAGTTATGAAAAAAGGAACAAATTTTTATTATTGGCTCTATTACCATATAGGTGCACTTCACAAAGTAATTTTTAATTTTCAGTAATGTAAAATATTGTCTACGTTTAAAAGTAATAAGTACAGTTTTAGTTATTAAAATTAAATACTATTAAATAACAATTGGCTTATTTAAATACAGTGCACAGTCGTCTTCTAAAAAGATTTAAAAGAACATCTTTCTAAATCTTCGTAAAAAATGATTAATTATGGACTGTATTTTAATAAGGAAGCTAGGATGCTATATTGCATTAAACAATATATACTTTTCAAAAGTGATATCACCAAATGATAATAATGATATTTCTTATTTTGATTTGTACATATACATTCTTAACATAGCATATGTAAACTGATAATTCCTTGTCATAAATCTGAGTCCTGTCTTGTAATTTTGTTGCCATATTACTGAATACTATTTGTGTAGTCTGTATTTTGAAACAGTATTTTGTCGTAGACTCATTTAAATATTCCAATTTACTCATTACTTTATTAGTTGTGGTTGTATTTCTTGTAAAGGTGTTAAGAGCAATTCTATTGACGAGTGGCATGTAGTTGTACAGAATGCTGATAAATTTGTTTATATATAAATATTTAACAACTCAACATAACAATCCAATATACTAATAAATTTGTAAAAAAGTTTATTTAAATTTGACTTGTACTTATATGTACTTGTCCTATTTTACACAAATAAGAACTATATCAAAACTAAAGAACAAAACTGCAGTACTCTTATATATTGAATTTATTTAAAACTTACGAAAAGATTGTTAGAAAACAAACAACATTTGTAATTGCTAGAAAGTGATAAGTCACTATCTATATAACAGAAATATCTTATATTATTACAGCAATTTATTCATCCATGTATGTATTTTATTTGAACATTTTGTTTTCTTTTTGGCAAACAAATATTTGAGTAGTGTATGTATTGCAGAAAGCATTCAATTTTATGCACATGCACAGCTTTGTAGTCCAAAAGAAAAGAAAAAATATTGTTTATAGAAAGTCAAATGTTACCCAAGTATTCATATCTGCAAAGTAAAATATTTCAATTGATAATTTCATTTAATACAAATTTGATGTGGACTGTAATAACATACATATCCCTTTGTCCCAGTGTTTGTTTCATAAAAAAAAAGAAACAAGTTTAACATTATTTTTGTATACCAATTATTCAGACACAGCAGCAGCTTATCATTATTCTTCAATTAATATGGAAATTTGATTGACGTACAAAATCTCATGCCATGACGATGAATAACGATTATGTTGTTTTGATTGTTCTGACAGTCCACTAAGAAACCCATGGCAAAACGGCGCAGATTCGCAGGTATGCAAATCAAAACATGAGATTCTGGAACTTTTCTTTTTATTAAAGAGGTTGATGGTAGACTGCTAATAGCAGTTTATGTCAAATTTTACCATGGAAGTTTATTTTAAGAGCATTTTATGTTGCACACATTATATTTTTTGTAGTATTAAAATATTACATTTTCACTTGAACGGGCACTATTTTATTATTTAGTTATTGAGCTCTTGTTTTAAATATTTAACAAGACGATAACGTTGTTTATTATAAATAATATTGAATAATATACGTATGAAATACTTATTATTTTAAATAAATTAGTAGTTGTTTCTTATTTTCATTTGAAATAAAATTTGCCCAGATCTGATCTTTAGTTATACATTATATACAATTTTAGACATCTTTATATTGCACTTGTATATATATTTTATTTGAGAAATCCCTCAATTTCTTAGAGATGCATTTTTGAATAATTTTCTATCATTATATAATATAAGTTATAAGCTACTATAATGTGTGTGTTCCCCGAAATATGTTGCACAGTGTTTAGATTTTATTAGCTTTATATTTTCATTCATGATTATAGTGCATTTTGAATGTCTTGCATCTTGACTGTCCCAGCACATATGCAGTGGAAGATTGATTGTATATAGTTTAATTCTATTACACTAATTTTTAAATACTATGATATTAATTTCAATTTTAATTGTTAATTTCAATGTATACAGTTACAAGAAATAATAATTTGTTCACTGCGTACTTTTTAAGTTCATCTGTAACATGTGGACAGTAAAGAAGCTGAATAATTCATCTAATGTCGATTATTCACTTATAGAAAGTACAGTATTCCTTGTATCGATATAGAAACATTTACGCAAAAATCAACAAAGTGTGTAACGCTACCGATGCAGAGAGGAGTGCTGTGGAGATAATGGATATCAAACAACATGCATAGTTACATGTGGTTCAATTTTTATAAACACAAACACTGGGGTAAAGGGCACACCATAAACAAACTTTATGTTTGTTCTATTTAATCAACTACATGAGTTTTCATCAACAATTTTTGATTATTATCATTTCATTTTCTGTTACATTTGCATTGCTTTTATGTGTTTTAATTAAGTTTTTTTTTTTTACAGATAGTACATGCATTGTTGGACTTAATGTAGCATATTTTTTTTAGCAGCTGCTATATTTAGTAAGCTACTTGCTTATATAACAAATTGTATTTAGCATATCCTGCTGAGCTGTTAAGTTTATGCTGTTTGAAGATACGAAAATATACAAAAAATAATTTAATTGCAACAATATTTGTTTGTAATTTTCTTCCAAATTGAAACAGCATAAATATAGTATATTATTGTGCTTTACAATATGTTTGTTTATTTATTTTTTGCTTGCAGTACTATGTACATGTATTTATGTGATTCTCACACAAGCAGTTAATTTTTTGTTAAATTAAATTTTTTATATTGCTTTCTGTGTACAGTGATGGATACTATCCAAAACGATTGTAACATTGCGTGCTAATTTATTTATTTATATATTCATCATTTTAGTTACGATTTTATATCATTTATTTTCATGTAACAAATTTTTTACAGAGGCTACATGTATCGATATACAAATTAATATAAATAAGCACGCAGGAAGTCAGTAGATGCATAGTCTTAATTTTCCAACAGATACACCCTGATTTACTTTCCATTACAAAGTTCAGTACCTGTGTGAATTAGTAAATAATTAATATTGTCGAAATTAATTATAAATAAAAATAATTCAATGTTTTGTATCTGATGGAACAAATATAAATGGGACAATTACTCTTACTTATATTTATATAATTTCTTCCGAAACATTAAAACACTTGAGTAAATCTGATTAATACATTTTCCAGGGTGGATCAGGAAAAAAATAACTCCACAGAACAAACTGCGCTAGTGACGCGCGAAACCAGATGATTCAGAGAGGAAATACAAGCGAAATTATACATGCTCCGATGTTGTATAAGACGTAAATGGTAAACTTTGCTACCAAGAAGACTAATATAATGATGAAAATATTATTAATAGCGTTTCTTATACAAAGAATATCATATTTTATTATGTGGAAGAAAATATAAATAATGAATCTTTGTAGTTACAAACTAAGAATTATTGAAACTGGTGTTTGACACGGCTACACAACTGGATAGATACAGATAGGAATAATTCAAGAATTATCAAAATTATGCATTGTAAATTGGAATATAAGAACTGTTTCCTTTTAAATATTACTTTCATTTTATTAGGCACATTCAAATGTTTATAACTATTCGTAACATCTTTATGTTTTATTTAAGGTTCACTAATACATAAAATCATCCATAACATAATGTGCATGTATATTATTACTCTTAAACAAAAAACGCACGATACTCAAACTATAAATGGTAAAACAAAATACTTTTGTGTAATTTTTTATTTAATGAGTAGCAGACACCAGATCTTTAAATGATTTTCATATTGTTAAAGCATTTGTATACAAAGCTGAAAGCGTTAATGAATTTATGTGCAATAAATAAGCATGATCATGTGATCACATGTATAAAAAGAAGTTTGTGTGTGTTCAGTAGGAGGCTATTCAAGGCAACTTTAAATTCGCGACGTATAATTGATCTTTTAAAATCACTGAAAAGATTAATCATGCACAACTATAGCAAACACGTAATAAAATCTGTTCAAGAATACATCTGAACAGATTAAAGTATAATAAAGTAAATAAGATATATTGATAAATCTATGATTTAAATAATTTGAACTATAGACAAATTATGTGTAATTGGGCATTTTAAAGAGCGTTTATTGAAACGTTTTTATGTTACTTTACTTTTAAATGAATTATGATTTCTATTATAGAGTTGCGAAATGAAATATCAGACAGATAATTAATACTCTATTTATAATACATTAAATACTTGTCTCGTAAGATATAATTGCTTCGTTTATTTTACAAGAGCGCGTATATTTAGTTGTACATCGTACTTATTTGTACTTTATATTTAGAAAAATAGAATTAGTCAATAAAGAATTTGTTTTATTTGACGTTAAATTACTATGCGAGTTTAAATAATAATTTGTTAATATAATGAATGATATAATTTATTTAATCACATTTTCAGATTTGAATAAAATAATCATTGGTATTTATATTTTTAATGCATTTGTTTTTTTTTGCAACACTGTGAACGAAGAGACAATTATAAAATTATATTTAATTTTTATTTTTTCATTAATATTTAAATAATGGGCTATCCTCAGCAATAATTGAACATAAATGAAAGAAATATACAAATAAAAGTCATAAAAATTATAATGTCTTATTTATAATTACATCATTTTCCTTCTAGATTCTATTTAGAATCCAATTAATAACTGCATATATTTATAATAATAGTGAAAAATAAAAAAATTTGTATATTTTAATGAGTTTCTTTGTACTATATTTTAACGAGATTTAAAATGTTCATACTGTCTATCATCCATAAGATTTTACATAAATTTGACAGTAGTTATCATAAATCAATTAAGATCAATACTTTGCTATTTCAAAATATCAATATTTACAAAATTACATATAAAAACTGAAGACAAGAACATTATACACGTTACATAGAAGGTAACGAATGCTATCCAAAGTAGATGAGATACTTTTAATACAAAAGTACAATGTGTTTACTGTCATAGTATCACAAATTACGAATATTTTTTCAAGGGGCTACTCTAGTTTGATATTTTAGAAAAATTGCTTTTTCGTTCGCACTTTTTTAACTTTCGTTCTATAAAATTCTAAAAATGTCTTAGTTTTTTTTTTATAGACAGACTACAATACCCCCTTTAAGTCGATTATTTAATTTTCTTATGATTCTTGATGCAGATTCTTGGTTTTTACATCATTACTTAATTCAACATTGTTTGTAAAAATCCTAGAATATAACTTCCCAAATCTTCATCTTGATTTGTCCACGAAACGTACACACTTTTTTGATCGTCCTCGTCGCCTTCTACCTTCACTAAAACGGACTCAACAGATATCGATCCATCTGTTAACTGAACTGTCCAACCTAATAATCTTTCTTTCAGCGGTTGTAATAATTTTAAAGTTGTCGATTGTGCTGGACCAGGATCTCTTACTTGAACAGTAGATGTAAATCGTACTACATGTTTCATTATACCTGCTGCTTTTGTTACCTTAAATAAAAATTATAATTTTTAATTATTTTTATATTTCTTGAATAACACACGCTAATAAAATTACCTCGTCTGCATCGACAAGACACGCTCCGTCTTCCCTTAACATTAAAACACTGTGAAGTAATCTTCGTCTTTTAGGATCTGGTGGTAAAGCTGAATATCTCTTTGCTTCAGCTTTTAACAATGCTAAAGAAGCATCGACTGGAACTTTCGAAATCGTCGTGATAACGCAAGTTTCTCCGTTCGCAGGATTGTAACAATTGGTTCCGAATTCTTGTTTAATTTTCTCCTTTAAGAATTCCATCTTAGCAAATTCTCCGTGTACCAGCATAACATTTTTAGGTTCACAATACTGTATCAATTGCATAATACCTTTTGCATCTGCGTGCGCGGAGAAAGACATATATTCTACAGCCATTTTAACTTCGACTATTTGCCGATTTTCAAATTCAATTCTTCTAGAACCGTTCAGAACTTTATGGCCGACGGTACCTTGAACACAGAATCCAGGCATAATAACCATGTTAGCTTCGTTTGGTGCCCATTTTTTAAAAATTTGTAAAGACAGTCCAGCGTGCAACATTCCTGGAGTAGCAAACACTACCATGGCTCCAGGATTATCAATATATGCTTTATCAAATGGTTTTATGTGTTTGAAATCAAACATGTTTCGCTGCACGAAAGTTTTCTTAATTTTTTGATTAGTCCAAGTGATAAACATTTTGTAATAATTGTTAGCTTTTTCAGTCAATCCTAAAGCAAAATATACAGGAACTTTCAAATTCATTCGTTCCCAATATGTTTCTAGTAATATACAAAGTTCTTGAGCGCGTCCAAGAGCGAATACAGGGATTAATACTTTTCCACCTCTATCGATACATTCGTGAACCTATAAGAAAAATTGCATACATTTTTAAAGCAGTAAATAACATTAATTGAATTGATTCTTGTTATAAGTAAGTATTTAAGTGTGTCGGTAATCAAAGATGCATACTTTCTTTAGAAAGTCTCTTTCCCTACATCTTTTAGAATCTCTAATAGTCGTTGCATATGTTGATTCTGATATTAGTAAGTCTGGTCTGCATTTATCAATCCATGCAGCGCCTAAATGTCTATCAGGAGTCATGTTGTAATCTCCGGTATACACAATCGATTGTGAGCCAACACGAATCCAAAACATTGCAGCTCCAAGCACATGTCCTGCATAATATGCTTTTATTTCTAGTTCAGGATCAACCATTACAGACTGGTGTAATGTAACAGCGATAACTTTCTTCATACAATCCTTTATCATTTGTGATGTGAAGAAGTTACTTTCACCTTTACGTTCTACAGCAACCTTTCTCATGTCTTCGAGCAATATAGGTGCAATGGCTTTTGTTGGATGTGTCATATAAATTGGACCAGTGTATCCTACCTACATATTAAATTCATTAAATGATGATGGTTTAGTAAATTAAATATAATTTATATATATTTTACATTACCATTTCAGTAAAATATGGTAGAGCACCACAGTGATCTAAGTGGAAATGCGAAATAATCACGCAATCAATATAATTAGTTGCAGGACCTTCTGGGACTATATATGAAAAATCTGGAAATCTTCTTTCATCATTGAATCCCATGTGCATGCCACAGTCTAACATAATATTTTTTCCACCCATCGATACAAGGATACAACTTCTTCCAACATCTTGACCAGCACCCAAAGGGGTGATTTTAATATCAGGCATTTTTCTATTCTATGCAGTTTAATTGAATGTAATCGCTTTGTTCAATTGAGCACTGGCATGAAGTCAATATAATAACGTTTGTTGTAGAAATAATGAAAATATTATTGTTAAAGTTACAATAAACATCACAGTGTTTATTCAATTATAATTGTAGCAAGTTAACCTCTAAAGAGAGAATTTTGATATAAAACAATATAATTGATGTGTTTCATAGAACAGCTAGTATAAGTAGAAATATTTATCAACAATTTTTCATTTCATTTTTATTATCTTCTTTTATCGAGAACGTAGAAACTGCCACAGTGTTTCATCATGTTATGAATTGTGACACATTTCTTACTTGCAGTTACTTGCAGTTACTGACATCACACGCAATAGTTCATAACCTTTGAATTCAATTTGTAATTTGTCAACATTAAACTGAGGGACATTCTAACTTGCAAATAAACATATCGGATACTGAGTATTGGCGAGTAATCTGTAGTCAACAAGGTTGTTTTTCACGTATTACTGATAAAATGTAATTCTATGTAAACTGTCATTCTATAAAAAACAAATACTAAATGTATGATTACTTAAATTACTTAAATTGTGATAAATTGTTGAGTACACATTTTCTATGAAGAAATAATGATTTCATCAATTATCAATAAATTTAACAGTAATAAACAAATTTATGAATACGAGCATAATTTGTTTACAAACTTTCTATTCCTAAAAATGGTGTCGCCATTTCGCGGTGACCGAACTAATTTTTCACATATATTCACATTTTTTACTTTTTTCTGCATATCTATATTATTGTACATCGTAATTATCATAATTCATGATTCATAATTCATAATTGTTGATCTAATTGTGTTTTCAATAAATAAATAAAAAAAAATATATATATATCGAAAAATGTGGCGCCATCTCTCGACGAACTATCCAATTTTATCGCGAAGTAGTTTTCACTTCGCGTCGCTAGATGGCGCCATATTTTTCATTTGTGGCCGGCACCTGGTAAATGGTACCTTCCTTATCGACTCAACAGTAGGTTATCACCTGAACTTTGGCGGAAACTTATTTATCGACTCAGAAGGGGATCTCTTTTACCGGCTGTTGTTCCGTTTGTCTTTTTGATTTTATTTAATTAACAAATTGCTTTCTAGTTGAACAATACGCGCGATCATTAAAACTTGAAAATAAAACCACTTATATTCTGAACATATTTTTATTATAATCCCAAGTGCTATAATTTTCATGTTAGTGGCGACATCTGGTGGCAGGAGGTGGAAACTACTTCACGACAAACTTGGACGGTTCGCCGAGGATGGCGCCATATTTCCCGCTATTTTTATTTATTCAAAAAACGATATCAATAATTATTAGTGTGGAAATCTGTGCAGTAAATACTGTATGCAACTGTACATGGAATAAAAATGTAAAATTAAGCTTTAACGCGAGCATAAGGAATTTAGATTAAAATTTGAACACGATAGATGTTAATATGTTAGATTAAACAAACAAATTGCTTATTTATAACGAATCCTCGAACAGTAGCTGTTGCCGTAGGGTAGAGTAAACACGCTTGATACACATTTTCGATACTTTATTCATATAATTTCGTAGTTACGGCATTATATCTATGTATTTACATATCTCCAGTATCTTTTTTTTTGTTCAGAAAGATCTTATAATGCGTCTGTGTTTGCGCGCTACAATATATAACGCACGCGAGTGGGTTGCCTGGATTTAAGTTGTAAAACGTACTTCTTCATTGTTTTGTTTTCCCTTTTTTCTTTTTGTTTTTCTTTCTTTTAGTATCTTTACAGTTTATTCTCGCCCCGTTGCTTTCAGCGACACGTAAAACATGCGTCGCTACGCGAAACAAGAGAAATCTCTATTAAAATGGCGCGATTTTAAATCAATGTGTTTACAAGTTGGAAAAGTAACTAAACAAGAGGCTCGACGTGTAAAAAATCTAAACGCATCGTTGCACGCTAAACTAGTTTTGTACCACGCATTTATTTATCCGTCTTATCGTTTTCGAAAATGAAATTTCTGATACGAGCTGTTCGAAGAACAATTGGCTCGAACCGTTTTTAAAAAGTCGTTTAAATTAGTTTAAAAATTTATTAGAATAATTTCGGCTGAAAAGAAAATTGCTTCAAGTCGCTTTAATTGAAAATTGACTTCAATCGCTCCAAAAAAAAAAAAAAAAAAAAAAAAAAAAAAAAAAAAAAAAAAAAAACCAGATCTACTCGTTTCGGTGTAAAATGTGGCCTGCTTATTTGGATTTTAAAATTGATTTTCATCGTTTCGATCCGAACTCGATTTACGAATTGATATTTCACCGGAACTGAATACCTCTAGTCACGCGTATATACGTGCAAATGTATACAGGGTGTCCAAACTATAATAACACAGAATTCTTTTCATAAAAGCACGACACAGGAACAAAAAAAAAAAAAAAAAAAATAAAAATAGAAAACCAAAAAGATTTACGAATTCTTGCAACGAACACGAATGCGTCTAACAATGTACAACGACGAGGTTTGCGGTATTTACAAAATGCCTTGCGTCAATTAAAAAAACGTGTCGTTGAATTCGTCTCGATTTTCTTCTATTTAATATAATATAAATAAATCGTACGAAAAATGAACGTCGTTCGATTTAGTATTCGTTTCGAACTCGACCGAAGAAAAAGAATCTATCTAATCTAATTCGTACATGAACAAAATAAAAAAAATGAAAAACAATGAAATTCTTGCCCCTTCCATATTTTTTTTCTCACGCCATTTATTCACAAGAATGATGCTAGCTAACTATAATGCGAGCACCCTGTATATGCCCTTTCTCGCTCGAATCCTACTGTACATACGTATACGTATAATGTTTATGATACTCGTAAAAATCGGAAGGGCGGTGGAGAGGGGATAGCGTAGTGAACAACAAAAATATCCGCGATCGTCGCCGGTTCTACAGTACCGCAAATCTTTTTATCGTTAACACTGTATTCCGTATTTTCTGTCTTTCTCCGTTTCGTCTCTCGTCGTGTCACCAAAAATTCTCGTCCACGAACGTATTTTCGCTATCTAGTTTCATACAGGTGCACCCATACGTATAGACTGTACAATGTAAAATATAATTCCATCTAGCTATAGCGATTCTAGATACAGTTGTGTGAGCTTATTTATTTATTTAATTTTTTTTTTTTTTTTTTTTATATTCTTTTCGTTTTTTCCGCTGGCTACTAAACACGACTCTCGTTTTCGCGATTATCCATCTCACGCACACCCTTAATTACACGTACACAGTTACATGCAGCGCATCCGTCGATCGTAACATCGGTCATTCGCTATTTATTCACGTTTGCTCGCGTTTCGTCATTTCGCGCCTCTCTGGTCGCCGCGCTACGCGTTAATTGTTTAAGTTTAGGTATGATGGCTACCTACCGCGACACACTTAAGTCCGAGGTTTTTAATGCGTTAAGTTTAAGTAGTAGAGTAACATTTTGCTCGGTAAGATATCTTATTAGAAGTTGATTAGTTTCGTATAAATGTTTAGTCGTCGGTACATCGAAGGATATGCAGAGAGAGAGAGAGAGAGAGAGAGAGAGAGAGAGAGAGAGAGAGAGAGTTTAGGGGGCAGTGATAACAATATGTTCGCGTTTCTCGAGGTCTGGTGGACGCTTGTTGCGATCTGGCAGCCTTTGCGGCGCGTGATTCGTTCCCCACTGGCGCCAGTGATCGTTCCAATTTGGAAGAGTGTAAATTCAATTGAAGTAATGATTATTGGGCTAAGTAAGCGACCCTGGTTTTCAATTTGATGTCACAGTGATTACTGGCGCCAGTTTAGTGGCGCCAGTTTAGTGGCGCCAGTTTAGTGGCGCCAGTCAAGTAGCGTCAGCTGGATTTGCGTTTCTAGATACAATGATCTCTGGTACGAGGAAGGTAACCTCAAAAGAATTGCGTCGATTGGTTTCATGTTTCCATCCACAACGATTACTGGCGCCAGTTAAGTGGCGCCAATACAATACCATTACTTGAATTTATGTTTCCACATACAATGATCTCTGGTACCAGGTAAGTAGCCTCGAAAGAATTGCGTCGATTGGTTTTATATTTCCATCCGCAACGATTACTGGCGCCAGTAAACTAGCATCGGTTTAATTTTCGTTTCCAAATACAACGATCTCTGACACCAGGGCAACAAGTAAAATGGAATCAGCAGAGTGATACCAGTAAAGTGGCGTCAGTCGAGTACCTATCATTCGCATAGAACAATTGTTGGCGCCAGTAAACTGGCCCAAGAAGATTGAGATCAGTAAGCGTCGATTGATTTTACATTTCCAGGCACGGTGATTAGTGTGAGAACATCTGCACGTACGTGTATATGCGATGGCGACAGTGTGCATGAAAGAGAAAAAGGCGTGCACAGTTACAAAAGCGTGTACAGTATGATTTGAGATAGAAAAACACGGCAGAAATGTGCCATTAATATTAATGGAAAAGTTGGAGAAATAATATGTTTTCTTTTATTTAAATACAAGTTACCAAATATACATGTATAAATTCATCGAGGTTTAATTATCAATGGTTATTCAAACCCAACAATTAGTGGCGCCAGCAAAGTGGCGCCAGTTGAATTCGTATGTTTTCCGATAGGATAATCACTAGTGTCAGTGAAGCGGATAATTGAGTTTACGTCTTTCTAAATAGAAAAATTATTTGTGCCAGTAAACTCCACCGACAAAGTGGCGCTAGTAAAGTGACGTGTCACCAATAAAGTAACACTACTGGCGCCAGTAATATTTGCAACGTGACAAACTCGTTCAAGAAACAGTATTTTCTTTTTGTCACTCAAACAGAAAGAAATCGATACCATCATATCGAAGAAGAGCAAAGATCAAAGTCTTTTCGATATTATTCAAATTTCGTATTCGTATAACAGATACGAAAACTAAGAAGTGAATTTCTTGTATTTACATTAACAGGCTCGAAAAAAAATCTCAAAAAATTCAGTGTTACACTTCAAGATCTCCACGACATTATTCAACAGTCTTTAATGTAAAAGGTTAAAGGCTCGTCTCAAATAGCAATCGATATGTAAACAGTGAAATTTGGGGGCGAAATTTCGCTTGTGCCCAAAGAGACTCGAGTGACCAATGAAAAACATTAATTCAATCTCGCGCAGACGATTTTCCGTTAAATTCTTTGCGCGAATATGTTAACATAACATTCATCTATAAACAAAAATTTCATTTAGCTGCTAAAGTTCGACTAGCATTCGACAAAAAAAAATATTAATTATCTCGTGGAGCTATTTAACTCTTTGGGGTTGGGTGGATTAAAAACTGGCATTTTTATTTTTTGCTTAGCTTTGATATTTTATTTAAAGTTTTTCATTCAGTTGGCTTCGAACTAACGCTGAACGATAAATAAAGAAAATATAATTTTATACAAGTCGAAACGCATTGATAAATTGTCGAAACCTCTTCTGTGCAGCTTGAGTTTTATTTAAAATTTTAAATCGTGTGCCTCAAAGAGTTAAACAGAAATATTTCTGTGTGACGATATCGTTAAGACTGCCCGCTCAACTTTTCTTGCGTAAATATACAAAAAGATCCACATCGAATTATCGTTTTTACAGTCTACGAATGATCCCGAAGGCGAGGAATTGCAAAGTTCAGCAAAGTCGAGAGAGTTAAAGATTATTGTGCCATTTTAAGCGTCATGCGCGAAAGCGATCGTTGAGATTTCATTTCTTTTTTTCTTTTTTTTTTTTTCGAGAACTCGCGTTTCGTACCCGATCGAAAATGATCAAGCGATAAATTGCAAAAATAGTAAAGAAATTCTTCTGTTATCGGTAGAAGATACCGTAAGTGGATCCATCAAGCTCTTGTGCGATTTAGATATAGAAGAATTTGATATAAATCTCGAAAGTTGTTTCTATTTCTCCGTATCGCCACCAAAGATGGACAAAATTTTACTGATCGAATAAACTCGTTGAATGATTTATTCGCAACGTTTGTTCATTTAAAATTTATCCAGACAGAAGCCTTAATACGTTTGATATGAAATTGAAAATTCGTCCTATTTTGTCATTTAAATTGTATTTTTGATTGAATGCATAATAGGACAGAGATCGTTTATCTTTTTCGTTATTTTTTATTTAAAAATTTGGTTTGTCCATCTCTGTCAGGAGATGAGTCTCCATTTTCAGAGGAATTTAGTTCATCAGCAAGAGTTTCTGTGAAACGATATACATTATCGTGTACAGGAGAGTCGATACACACATTCGCGGCAAACACTGTAAAATGTATCGTGTGCAGTCTGACCAATATTCGACCGATTTCGTCGCCATTCCGTGCAAATAGTTTAAAAAGAGATCTTTCGATTCCGACACTCTTACACCAAAACGCAGAAGATAAATATAAAATTGATTCCAAAATAAATTTGTTTTCATTTCGAAGTAAAAAGATGAAAGTTTCATAGAATACGATCACTTGTCTTATTGGTATTTTTAACGGTAGCCTATTAAACAGAATATGCAAGATACCAATTTGTTTAGAACGTTCGAGATATTCTAAGAGCGATGCGATTCGAAGAAAATTTAATGGTAAAACGTATGAATGCGTTGTAACTTTAATAATATTTGAAATGGGTTAAATTTTATTTGAGTAATAAATGAGAAATAAAATCAAAATATAACAATAGCTTGATATAATAGTCAAGAAGACAATAATAGAGGACCTCTTATTTTTGTTATATTTATTAGATTTATTCGCAACAGGTAAATTCGTATTTGTTCATTATGAAGTACTGAATTCTGTAACTCAAATTTTTATTTTTATTAGAAATAGTTGTTTGTCTTTTATTCGCTATTCGAGATTTTTGTCCAGATAAGGATTTTATCCCATCTCTGTTTTCAAATTAGATTCGGATTAACGTGCGTCAATCATGCATCCCTGAGTGACGTCAGGTCGAAGACCAAGCTCATATTTTGGACGAAGATTTACGTTTGCTGTGATATCTTTTTCTATTGAAAATGATTATTGTGTCACCATAAATTAATCGATACAAAATTCTTTATCTTCATCTCTCTTGCTTCACTTTCATCTGGTCGTTTTTGTGACAATAAAAATTACACACCCTTGAAGGATACGTTAAGAAGGGAAAGTCCAAAAATTCGTTTAAAATTGTACAGTTTGTTACACGATTGATTGATTACTCAAAAGACCAAAGTGATTGGTTATTCCAGCATAAAAATATTTGATACCATCAAAGACGAATGAAAATCTTTATTCGCGATAATTTTATAATAGAAACTCTATCCTATTTTATTAAAGTTTTATATTCATTCGTTCTTCGATTATATAAAAAAATGTTCGTGCTTGAATAACCCGTTACTTTGATATTTTAAATTCGTTTAAAAGATACTCAAACCAAAGATGGGCAAAATTCTCGTAAAAATTCTCAATAAAAATTGTGGAGCGAACGAAACTATTTGTACTGGTTAAATCAAAATTATACTTTCAGTTATAGAATCGTATATTTCGTAATGTACGATTAAAAAGCTCTTGAATCGAATAAACGACACGAATAACGAATAATTTCTATATGATTTTATTCTCAGTCTGTTCGAATAAAATTTCGCCCATTCCTGGCTCGAAATAATAGACAAAATAATAGTGCGTCTGTTTTCAGTAAAAATCTGGCAGTCGGTTTTACCAGATTTTGTGACGAATATCGCGATGCGAGTAGAAAAAATTCGTGTTGCGTGGAAAGTGCGGCGAGAGGCAAATTACACCCGATATAATTCTTCATGGGAAATTAACTACGAATCTGAAACAGGGAATTGCAACGATAACGTCGCTAACGAGTTTCGCGTTGGCATCGTTGGAATTAATAAGGGTTAATTGGACGCGAAAGTCGTGGAGGAAGTTTGCTAATTGTCTCGAGGCGCGAACGAAGAACGAACTTAGTGGCGCAATCAGAAATTTCAAATATGAAAATAAATGCTTGTTTATGTGTGTATTTATGAACGAAAAGAATGCTGAATCTTTGTATTTAGAAAAAGACACGAAGAAGTATTTATCAATAAATACAAACGAGTATTAATAAATAGGACGAATTGCCTCTCTATAATATTCAATTTTATTTTCATTCGTTTCTCGCCACTGTATAGAGGATTTCAAGAATTTTCATATTTTATTTCGCGTCAAATACGAGCAGAAATATTTGTTCGCACGTGCATTTATAAATGAAAAGAATGCTCGATACTTGTATTTGTAAGCAAATATAAATATTTATAAGTAAATGATTATTTTTTCCGTAACCTCTTGGTTATTGCGAACACGGAAACTTTATTCTCGGAGAAAACTTTATTCAGATGGATCTTCATGGGGCACAAGTACATGGAGATATACAAGCGAAATGTCTACGAAGTATCACAGAAAAGTTCAAGAAATGTTAAAAGGAATGTTGAAACAAGATTGAAACAAGATGCACAGAAGTAAAAAACCGTCTAAAATGAAATTATAGTGCCTCTCCAAACGTCGCGATTTCCTACCCTCTAAGCGTCGCGCAGTCACCCCCACCACTACCCGGGATTGCTGCAGCGGGCATTCATTCGTGATCACTCGTGACACTTAACCGTGTATGCCACTCGACCTCATTGCTTTTCACTGTCGTTCTCAATCTATTGGGATTCGAAATGCTTTCTTTCGATTTCGACATTTTTTGCAGAGTGGCAGAGTAAAAATCTCTGTTAGGTATAGACATTTACTGATGCCGTGATAGTAATTAAAACCAGTGAAACGAACAAGATTAGGATATACAAGCAATTTGTTTATATCGAGTATATTATATAATTCAAAGTATGCAATTTTGATTGTTTGTACCTTTAAAATTAGGATTACACTTCTATTCTAAACACTCCAACAGGGACTTGTACTCTATATTTCTGCAAATCCACGTCAGAAAGAAACAAGTTGCGTCTCTCCCTTGTCATAGTCTCTAAACGAGGGCCACAGACGTATCGATAATTGAGCGACCATTTCACTTATCGGCGCAATGCAACTACCGAGGTTCTCATGCAATCATAGGGGTCGCCTTTACCAAGCTTTTACTGTACAATTTCACACAATTTACAATCGTCAAACGGTCGTGTGTCAGCCGTAATCGTATGACTACTCGTACGACAGAGATGGCCAGTGATCACTTTTTTAATACAATTAATCAGTAACAATAAACAAAAAAAAAAAATATATATATATATACACAGTCACTCTCATAAGTATTCGTAGTTTTTTATAATTACATTTACTGTCAATGATAAAGAGAACAAAAATATGACAATGGAAAAAAGAAATAGTTCCTGAAAGGTTTAAAGAAATTTGTCTAAGTTCAATATCTACGTTCGATGTTTCCAAATAAATATTTACACGAACAAACCTTTCACGTATATATGTTTATAACGAATATTCATTTGGGAAAATCAAACCTATCATTCAATTTAGACAAATGTCTTCGCTAGACATAGAGGGTAAAAATATTTATGGGACCGACTGTATACAGGGTGTCCCAAAAGTCGGAGAGGAGCCGGAAATGGGGGGTAGCTGAGACGATTCTGAACAAAAATTTCCTTTGCAAAAATGTCGGATGGGGCTTCGTTAAGGAGATATTGAGCGAAAACTCCGACCAATCAGAGCGCGCGTAGACCGTTGGAGCGGCCGCGATAGCGAAGGCTACGCGCTAGGCGGCAGCGTCAATGTCCTTCGATGCACGTCGAGTCACTTGTTCGCGTACAGGCGCGGCCGTCAGCGCGTAGCCTTCGCTACCGCGGCCGCTCCAACGGTCTACGCGCGCTCTGATTGGTCGGGGTTTTCGCTTAATATCTCCTTAACGAAGCCCCATCCGACATTTTTGCAAAGGAAATTGTTGTTCGGAATCGTCTCAGCTACCCTCCGTTTCCGGCTCCTCCCCTACTTTTGGGACACCCTGTATATAATCCGCACTCGTGAGTTAGATAATTCGTAATTTTCCAGAGAAATTTCCGATTACTTGGCGATTATAATCGTGGATAAAATCCTGTCCATCACTGTCGCACGATAAACCGTTGCGTCCCCGGGCCCTGTAACTGTCGCGGCTCGGTCTTGCGCGTGCGACAGTTAGAGAGTCGCGCCACCGTATCGAGAAAGTATCCGAACGATATCGCAGAGACACGAAACAAGTACGGGAACATCGAACAAGTATAAAAGACCTAACAGACCGTCGTGACGGGTGAACCGAAAGGTGCAACGAACGTCAAAGGGTTAAACACGCCGGGTGAAACGTCGCTCGATTCGTTTTGGCAATACCGCATTCGCACCCTGTCTACACCGTGTTGTCTGCGCATGGCTGTCGCGTTTCGTTTCTTGCACGAATCACAGAATATTGCTAACGATACAGAAGTTTTACTCGACGCCGTTGCTGATTCCCTACATATTTATCCGGGACACCCTGTAGCTATTTGGCGGCCGCGTGTCGCTTCTTATTCTAGATAGCGATCGGTACTTTTAGTTTGTATCTCAGTACCGTATTTCATTCTAGAAATTTGTGTATCGTCGTGGACGTCGTTCGCAGCGTCCAACCATGCACAAGGGGGACGCGCTCTCGTCCAAATACCTCGTAGCTATTTGATATCTGCATTCGCCTTCCTACCGTAGACGACAATCGGTACTCAGCTTTTAGTTTGTATTTCAACTCATTTATTCGATATATTAATTTCACATTTCACGATAAAAATGGTCATGGCGCGAGTTATGTTTGAACTTCGTCTGCAGCGTTCCTAATGTAGGTAGCGATCGGTACTCAACCTTTATTTCAATTCATTACTTTTGCTTAGTTAATTTCACATTTCGCTATACAAATTTTCACAGCATCATGCTTGAACCTCGCTTACAGGGTCCGCGAATGCGCAAGGGGGACGCGCACTCGTATAAAATGAAACGTGTGTTGCGCCATGCTAGATCAAGGGTGCTCGAGGTGAAACTTCTGTACAGCAATTATCCGGTGTTTAAACTAACTCGTCACGTTTTTTTTCCGCACAAGTCAACTTACGCGTAAACACAACCGACGTTGCTCGTAGTCGCTGACTCCTCGTTCGAACGAAACAACGCGGACTCTCACCCACACACGTACACGCACGTTCTTCCACGCTGTTAATAAAATCTATATAATTTAATAAACAATTTACACGCATAACATAATCGATAAATATCGTATATGTATATATATATATATTTTTTTTTCTTCTATACAACAATAAGTTTATTAATCGCTAGATAGGATCGTTCGCATTGATACTTTCGTTCGTACGCTTTAGTTCCAACACTTTCTCGCTCTCGTATATATGTATACTGGACTATGATAACGTTTAAAGAAAAAGCTCCGCCCTCGAGACACGTTCACCGGCACCTCTCGCTGTTCGATCCCTTTTTCCTTTTTCCGTTTAAAGCAACGACTATCGAGATCGAATCGTGTAAACGTGATCTAAAGAAGGATCATGCACGTGATTGTTAATATGGTACATAATAAATCTGTCATATACAATAAGTATAATACACGACTAGCGGCACGGCGAATAAGGAAGAAGTTTGATTTTCGTGGATAACGCGCGGATTCGCGACAAAGAGTCCCCCAGGAGGGGGTTGGATCGTGTCTCGAGGGTTCGTTTTCGTCGCCTGCGCTCGAATGGCGTTGGAGAAATGCTGGATGTGGACTTGGTGGAACAAACACGGCGATCTCGTAAGTACCGCAGGATGCCAGACATCGATGAAACAGTATTTTGAGTAGCAAATCATGGCGATTTGGTTTCAACGTTTATTTGCAAGCTATTAGCGAGAAGTTTTCATTCGTCCGATCCGATGTACAGTTTTATTTAGAGTTTCAGAGGTTTAGATTGTAATTTTTATTGAACGTACAAGTGATCGAGAATTGTTTGTTTCTTGTGGTTTGTTATTTAATATTTCGTTTAGGTGAGAGACTTTGGGGGGGACCTTTCTTGAACGATGGAACTCGAGGGTCTCCTAGTCCAGAATGCTAAAATAAGGCATTTTTTCACGAATACTTTTTTTGTGATACTGTTCGCGGGTTCTTTTACTTTGCGTATTTGTTTATATACATTTTCAAGGAAATATACGTTTTTTTTTTTTCGTGTAGAAATACTGCTTTACGAAAGGGATGCACGAACCGTGGGGCTTCGATGAAAAGAAAACATTTTTGGTTTATTCGATTTTTTAAATTCTGTTAATTACTTAATTACTTAATTTAATTTTTGTATACATGGAGATCGAATGGAGATGTGCGTCCTTATCGTAATCCGTTCACCTGTAATGCTTTTAAGGTCTGAACGGTTGAAACTTTCAACGTGTGAAAAAATTGATTGTTTACCTCCAAACCAGTCGGACTCCTTAAAGTTCGTCCTATAAAAATCGCGTACATTGTTTTCAGTTCAAAGTCCCATTACACTAACTTTTTAAACGTCATCGTATTCTTTTCACTAAGACGTTTTCAAGGCCTAATTCTTTCAGAAAATGCATACAAAAATTGACATATTTACCTTGAAACCAATCAAAGCCCTTGCAATCTCTCATACAATGTTCCAATATATATATATATTGTATATAGCCTTCAAATAAAAGTCCCAAAACCCTGCCAATATTTCCAATCGCACCAACCTTCGGGCATAATGCATTCCCAAGGTTAAAAATCTTTTACAAAATGTATAAAAAAAATTCATATTTTTACCCCCAAACTAGCCAGACCCCTCGGAGTTCATCCTACAATACAAGAGTATACAGTCTTCGGTTCAAAGTCATGCAACATTGCTACCCGTCAGCAGTGCTACAAACTCGAGACCTTAACAAAGTATAAAAACCGACCCAATCGATTATTTTCCATCTACAGACTAGGACCTCGAGGGCCTGAACACCCCAAGGAAGACGCATGTTGCTGGCAGCGTACAGCAGTTACGAAATCGCAGTCATGGAAAACCTATTTAACGGTTGATAATTCCGAATTTGTTCCACCAACCAAGTGATAACACGAATTTAAGAATTGATAAACGCGATGCTTTACCTTCGCCGGCGATTTACCTCGCGTCTCTCAGAGTCCCGAGGTCGCAGTTCGCGATAATCGTTCGATCGTTCAGCGCACCCTCGACGCTCCAGCTCGTTTCTGCATCTCATTCGCCTCTTTTGGTATCGTTTCGCGCGATCAGTCTTGGCTCCGTCTGTTTCCGGTCGCGCGACGACGTCTAGAACATCGACCTGAAACGCTCGTTCCTACGTCGCGTCTCGTTGTTCTTCAACCGCAGCTCGCGGCTCGTCGACGTCGATCGGGTTCCATCGTCGTCCCCTCGAGGTACACCAGAAACGTCCTCCAGAGACCCGGAAGAACCTTTCGAAGGTTCGAGGAGCGAAGGGGATGATCGGAGAATCCTTATCGAACGACGCTCACCGACCTCGACTTTCGCACAGTTCGTGGCCCATCGAGAGGGAACCGCGTCTCGATCACTGTCTACGACCTTGAGTCGTTCACACGCAAGGAACACCCGTTCTTACATCCGTCGATAGAACCGAATAAACTGATGCCACCCCCGGTTTAGCACCAACAAACGAAGAATCTAAAACGAGGCTCGGCCGTCTCTCTCGAGTCCGACTCCGGCCACCTGGCCGCCAGAGAGAGTAGTATTCCGAGCACGTGTGTGCAGAGTTTAAGCGTATGGTAGATAGCGATCCTGAAGACGGACCTCTACACGTACCACTCTTTGATGTCCACCAGTTCCCGTTTCTTGTTGGTTTTGCTGCCGTTCGCGCCGTTTTTCAGGGCGCCGTTGAACGGCTGACCGGAACCCGTGGCGCCTAGAAGCGCCGCGTTCGGATCCTGGCAGAAGGTCTTCGTCTCGTCGACCTTGTAACTCGTCTCGGGACGATTCTTGAACTTGAGGATGATCAGGATGATGAGGATGATCGCGATCAACGCCGCGGCTATGATGATGATTATCAAGGCGGCGCCGTCCGCCGCTGCCTCGGTTCCCCTGTTCTTGTTGGGGTTCTTCGGGGTTGCCGGGACCGGCGTGTGTATCGGGGGCAGTGGGGGCGGAGGTGGGTCCGTCATCTCTGTGGTGGTGGTCTGGGTCGTCACGGTCGTCGACCTTTGCGTCACGATGCTACTGCAAGGGTTCAAGAACCGATTACTCAACGTTTTAGAAAATTGGCTAATGTAGGGTGCCAAAAATGTCGGAGGTTCTTGAAAACCTTTCAGGAGGTTCTTGGTTCGGGAGGTGATTTGAAACAACCTTTTCTTAGCGAAAATATCGGAGGCTTCATTAAGGAGATATTAAGGAGATATAAGAAAACGCGCGACCAATCAGAGCGCGCGCGTCGATGTCCTTCGGAGTGTAATAGGCGAAATCCTAGGCTTCGAATAAATCTGAAGTTTGCCGATGTGTGATTGTCTCGTTTCCTTCGTTGGAAAATGTTCGAAAGTTGTTCAGAAATGTTCAAAACTTCAGATTCATTCGAACCCTAGGGTTTTGCCCATCACCGATGTCCTTCGATGCACGTCGAGCCACGGGACGGACAGTAGAGCAGTTCGCGACATCTTCGCTAAGGAAAAAGTGGTTTCGTATCACCTCCCGAACCACCCCTTTCAAGGATCTCCAACATTTCTGAAACACCCTGTATAGTCGGAGAGCCAGTGACGATTTTAATTACATCATTTTTATAAGGACCTAACCCTTTTTACGAATAGCTTTAATAATTCTAAATCCTGCATACGAGTCATCGTATATTATCGTTATTCGTGCATGTATTACTATCGAGTATTATTAAATTTATATCGAAACTATTAGTACCAGGCCAAAGGGAAATGTAAAACAATATACAATAATAAACAAAGGAACCGTCGTCGACAGGACTGCGTAACGAACGATGATAATCATTGCGAATGCGAATGCAGGCCACAAAAGCATTATTCACCCGCACTATTTATTATTAAAATAATCTCGTCGAAGGTACGGTCATAAAAGAAGAGTCATTACTCTTCATTCAACGTTCGCGTTTAATAAAGTTACGACACATTTGAGTCTATCGATCGGGACTTATTACGAAGGAATATTTGGAAATGTTGTCACGTAATGAAATATTATTAAACCGCTAGAATTCGAAACATTGAGCGCTAAAATTGATGTCAGTGGGACAGTTAAAAGCTTCGAGCCATTATGATACCTGAAATAGCAGGCGTTCGGAGTTTGTACGTGGCTCTATGTTTGGAAATATCAGCTACAGAAAAGCGATAAATAAAAACGTTTATTTCAGAGTCCATCTGGAAATATTTAATTCAACAAGATAATGGAATAAAAATACTTTTTCGTTGCGAAATAACTTTCGGTTGCTTCGTTACGGTTTTCAAATTGCAATGTTCATTAAATATTGCATCGCCGTTTTATATTTGGAAAATTTCCATCCAAGAAAACCGATAAAATTAGAATTGGGCAATCGTTGATTTTTCAGTTCTGAAACTCTATCCGGAAATGTTGGAAATTGGAATACCGTGGTAAAAATATTGTTCGAAAGTCAAATAGCTCACGGCTGTTTGATTACGGTATGAAATCCTGATGTTGAATCAATTTTGGAAGTTAGTTCAACGAGCTGACTGGATCGGTTAGGACGGTTAACTAACCAAACAGCTAAATCCAATTTGACTGCTTAATCACAGTTTGGTTATCCGCAACCGCCATACAACTCATAGACGGATGAATAATTTATCTTTAATTTCAACACGCATGTGCGAAAATTTAAATATCGAGCATCGTCTTTTTAATGTACAAGGTTACAAGAGGATAAATAATTACGTTATATTTCATGTCTGATTTCAAACTAAACTCTTGATATCATAAAAATAATACTGAATCGGCACTGAATGAAAAATGTACTTTGTGCAGAGTTAAATTTTGAAAGGAAGTAAACAATTTCAGCCAACAATTTTTCATGACAAAATACCAAAGAACGTACAGGCTTGTCTTAGGGTGTTTCACAAATATATAAAGTGTATTAGTATATTTGGTGGAAGTCAACAGGAATAATATAAACAAAGGTATATATCCGAATGCTTGATTAATGGAGTACAAATAGATTTTGAATTTATAACTTATGCAGGATGCATCCTTTCCTTATTCTTTTTTACAAACTGTCTTTCGATTCGCTATACAGACTCGGAATATTTTCAACGACTAAACTTCTATTCGAAAAAAAAGTGTCAACACATTTAAAAAAATTGACATCTTTCCCCCTTTCACTTGTTCGACTAATTCGCTACAAACTTTAACATCTACATACACTTATGCATTACATCTCTCGCGAAAATATGCATATTTTTCACAATTCCCAAACACTAATAACGAGCACATTCAAACGAAAATTAAACCGCGAAGCTTTCCTTAAATAAATAAAAAAACTCCTTCCACATTTTCAACGACCCGAAAAATAAAAAATAAAATCCACCCTGAAAGCATACATACTATGCAACATATTGCCGTAACCCGCTGTTCATGCAACATATTGTTCGCAATCGGAATTCTAGGACAACCCTTACCAACAAAAAAAAAAAAAAAAAAAAAAAAAAAATTAGGAACTAACCAGGACACGGTCCTCGAATAGCCACGTTACAGAAACCATCGAATCGCGAGGCGACGAACTCCGCGAAAACCACGAGTTCAACCCCCTGCCGGGCGTTCGAGTCGGCAACCCCGAGGAACGTCGTACGAATCTCGGTAACGTGGCCAGAAGAGGAGTTTGTCCCGGGGTCGAAACTGACAGACTGACCTGGCGTCGCTGGTCTCGAGGTCTGTGGTCGACACATTGTACTGGCCGGATACGGTGACGGTGTCCCGGGTCGATGTCGACGGCGAGCCTGGAGACGTTTGCGTGCTGATGTGGCTGCTCGTGTACTCGCGGGCTGTCGTGTACGTCACCGAGCTGGAATCTGCTCGAGAAACGGAATGAAGAACCGTCAGCCGGCTGGTGCAATTACGTGTATCCGATTGGCTGCCGAGGGGTTGATGGGGGTAGTAACGTGCTACCGACAATATTTACGCGTGCGTAGGCCGGCGATATTCACGCGTGCGTGGGCAGCCACGTTGCCGAGGACAACCGGAGGGAGTCGTGTTCCGGTGCTTCCATGGACGTACGTTTAATCACGCGAAGGGAATTGCCGTGTCGTTTCTCCAAGGATGATTGATTTTTTTTTTCGCCCTGGGATTGTCGCTAGACTATATACCATCGCGTCGGTTCCCGTGAATTTAAACGCTTGTTACGGGGTGTCATCGACGAGTCACGGATTGGAATATTCTTGGCGTTCTGGGACACCGGAGCGCTTCTCTTGGGGATGAAGGAAAATTTCGTCGACAGTTTTTCTTGTTATTCGGCCGAGTTGCGAGGGGGTTGTAATAAATGTTATATTTGTTATAAATGTGACATTTGTTCAGGTTACGTGGACAGGTTTTAGGTAGCTGTCTTTCTCTGTCATTAATCAATCGATGAAACAGTTAACCAGCAAGAAACGATCTCTCTTCGCGAGTACGATTCAAATTCGCTCACCGAAGGGGTGAATCGAGTCGGTCGCGGATACCTCCGTCACTTTTCGAACTAATCGTGTGAAATCTCGGGGCCGAGACAGCCAAAGGAGCACGTGAAAAGGTGTTTCCGAAGGTCAAGCCCTCGAGGATGGCCCAAAAGGAAGTTTCGCAACGTGAAGCGCCGAAAGCGTTCTATTCGTCGTCTGGCTCGGAATTACTTTAACCGCGATAAACGAAGGCCGAGCAAACGATGAAGAGGGCACTCTATTCTGCGGTGAAGAGCGCCGTACTGAAAGAAATCGCATCCCCGTCGCGCCGGTGAGGGTAGCGCTATTTTCGTGACGGTCAACTTAACTGGTGGCAGTCGGGATTGGCGGAGCTTTCACCACACAAAGTTGAGGGATATGCAGATAAAGAGGACGCCCACGAACCAAGTATTTCCGTAACGAGCCGCGCTTCTACACTTCCACCGTTTTTGCAGCTCGTATTTCGAAGATCGTTGCTTCTAATTATTTAACGAGTGATTTTTAACGCTATTTGAACCTTCGGTTGGTTACATATATAGATTTCACGCAGAGTTTAGAAATTGGAGTAAAATTCTATTTCTTAATTTTTTTTACCCAAGAAGTTTCTTGAGAGATGCATTAACTAATTTTTTGTATAAAATTAAAGTGGGTTATATTTGCAAATGTATTTCTCGTAGAGACTTCGTAAAACGATCTTTGTAATGTCTGTATAATTTTATACAAATATTTAATTATATCAAGATATTATTAAAGATATTCAACTGCATCAGAGTACCGCTATCCGAATCATATTAAGTATCTTTAACGTAATAGGTACTTTAATATCTAATATAAACAAAGGTACAACGAAACATTCAACAGCTGTAAAATCGACAATTTTCAGAATTGTTCAAAGTCCTTCGAGATACGTTCAAATATCACTAAAGACTACAACATATCCAAATTTCGGTGTGTAAAGAACATCTTTAGAACTGTTAAAAAGTACTGTACAAAGGAAACGGAAGTGCTTACAGCAGAAAACAAACAATTTGAGCTTACGTTTAAATTTCTTACACACGGATCATCCTTTTCAAATTAGTACGAGTTACGTATCACAAATGTATCTTCCATTAACACAAGTATCTTTCGTTCTTCGGAACGCAAAAAAAACGTGCCTCGCCACTTCCATCATTTTCAACCCCTTTCCCAAAAGTCTCGAAAACGTTCTGACGTCACAAAGATCTGATCCTTCCTTCCCTCGCGTTTTCCAACGAAATAACGACGGTTACCCTCGGTCTCGCGAGAAATGGACGAAAGTACTAACGGAGATCGTGCAAGTCTCGGAAATACTCCGCCGGCACGAGCGGCGAGCATGCACTAGGAAGTGAACGAGAGGAAACCGTGCACGGAAGATCAATACCAGGCGTCGCGTGTTTGCGAGCGAACTCGAGTGAAAATCGAGTGTCCCGAGGGTGGGAGAGCGAAAAAAAATGAAAACGAAAGAAAAAAAGAAGAACAGAAGAAACGGACCGGTGGCAGACGTGACGAGGATCTCCTCGGTGGTGACCGGCTCGCCGGAGCCTTCCCCGCAGTCCTCCTCGTCGTCGCAGGAAGGACGCTCCTGGATCTTCTCCTTGTGGTGCTTCGGCCTCAGCGTCGTCGGCGACCTCGTTGGCGCGACGTACACGGGCGTTATTATGTCGTCTGCGAACACACGACGCGTCGTAAGTGTTTGCAAGGATAATCGTGTCTTCAATGTTAAGAATAAACCGCACTTTCGTGGTATAAAAAGTACATTTGACTTAGATCGATACGGTAAAGGGTGGACAAGTGCGAGACAGGATTGACTGGATAAATGCAAGATGGCTATCCCCACCATCGGAAGGTTCGGTGAGACGTTGCTATTGTCTCACCGATACGTTTCGGCTTACTGCTTTTCTACCTCGGACCTCTTTCTCTTTCGCTCTCTGTCCTTTTCTACGTTCGACTCGAGTCAAATGTAAACACGGAATAGAAACCTCGACTGGACAACTGCAATGTTCGAGTCCTGATTTTCTTGCACTTATCCAGTCTTTATCGTACCGTCTAAGAGGCGCGTGGTTAACCATGTCTTCCTTCGTATTTATTCACCTCGAACCGGGCGAATGAGATCAGATTCATTCGATTTAAAGTACGGCACGTCCCGTCTGAGAGGTGTGCGGTTATCTTATCCTTCATTTGAAATTATTCGTCTTGTCAAGTACGAACGTATTCGTTTAAGTTAAAAATTCGTTTTTGCTTCATTTGACTTAATTCAAGTACAGTGAATTCTGTCTAAGAGGAACGAGGGTTCCCTGTCTGGCAACAAGAGGGACGGTTTAGATAACAGTGAATAGGTGTTTGGTTTACCCTTTTGACGTGAAAGAATGGAAATTTTTGAGAAAAGTCTACGCGGTCTTAAAAATAGCATCATCGCTTGTCGATCGCGGCGCCAACCTAGTCGAGGGTCCTCAACCCTCTTGTTGCATAATGTGCTCCATTGGGAAGCCAATAAAAGCAATCCCTGTAAAGTCTGCTTAGGAAATATTACAGGATTTGCGCATTATGGTTCCTTATGGGAACATCTAGCAGCTTAGCGGTTAGGTGATCAACCTTTTCTAAGCTTACCGCACAGAGTGGAAGGCAAGTTTTAATAGAGTACGGTAACATTTATGATGCCTTGTGTCGATGTTAAAAATGAAAGCCTTACAGAAGTCTTATTCGCAAATAATTACAGTAATATTATAATTTTAATACTTGGACGTTTCAATAAAGAAGAAATGAATAAATAAGAAATTTAAAATCGTATTGACATGGTCGCTATGTCTATTAATCAAAATACAGAGTCAGTGTAATAAGTGTTCGTACAGGAATCATTTATTTTAAATCGGTTGCTGTACGAATACTTTTTACACTGACTGTATATCACCCGGAAGAATATTCATATAAATACTTTTCTAAGCTTCTAAGCTTTTCTTACTTCTGATGAATCTTAGAAACGTACAAGGTCGATAATTTATTATAATTCACTTCCTAACAACCATTAAAACATCCGATAATTATGTCCGCAATCTTAAAGGCAGAATGAAATAAAAATTCGAACATTTACAACATAGTAAAAAAATAAGGATCGCGTATAACGAATAACGAAGGGGATTATTGCGTTTTTGGAACGTAAAATAAAATCCATGCGATACAGGGTGAGAACGAACATAAACGCAGCCGTGTTCGTGTCTATTGGAACGGCGTTCCGCTGCGTGGTGTACAACATTCGCATAATTTTCGCACGATCGCACGGCGTTTGGGTTATTTGTATAATGCAAAATGAAAATGCGGTTATTGTAAGAGGGACAGAAAGCCCCGGGGTGGGAGATGCGGGGTCGGAGGGACGATAATGGAAATAGAATGCAGGTTTGATTGGGAACGTTTTGTTCGCGATACCCCGTACCAGGTTCGTTTTCCTTTGAACTCAATTTCGCCGGCAATTTCGTTGATTTTCGATTTTGTTTGAATTATTTTTGGCACGATGGTTCGTAGCCGAAACGAAACGTTGCCTTCCTAGCGGTGGATTCGTTTATTTTGCTATTTCCACCGCGATATTATACTAGTATCCGATTCAAACTAAACTAATTGCTGCGCAAGTGGTTCGTAGAAATTTAAAACTCCGAAGGGGCCCTTGTTGAGAAATAAAATTATATTACAAGTGTATATTAATATGAAACATTTTGTTAGTACATTGTAGAACAGTTTTCGTGTTTAGGAGAACGTTTATCGACATCTTGGTGAGTTCTAAACTTGGAATCATTCTGAGAGGGAAGGTCTATAATCGCGACCCCAAATAGCTCTAACCTTTAAGCTCTATCGCATTGTTCATTGATCGTGAACGAAATTGATTCTCTTATAGAAGCTATTAGGCAAATAGTCTACGTATTATAACAAAATACATGTACATTCGAATGAAACGAATCAAATAAATATTGTTTTATAAATCCAGATGAATTTATTACAAACTCGTGCGGTTCCTTCTACGTTTCAATCAAATGGATCGAATAAATATTGTTCCGTAAATTCAGATGAATTTATTATAAAATAATGTATGCTTTCTTTTTAACAAGATTTCATTGTATTTGAAGTAAATATAATTATAAAGTAAATCATAAATGAAGTAAATGAAATAAATTTCGTATTTATCCTATCGTATTCTAACAACAATTTTAACGATTCCAGACACAATCAACTATTTCAATACAAAAACACTCATTTCTTGAAATACATATTTTCCGTGCAACAAAAGACCTCCTGGAACTCATTAGGTTATCAAACGAGACAAATGGAATACGCAAATGTAACCGGATAACACGGGGAAAGAGAAACGACTATCCACCAGGTATCTCGTGTGCAAAAATACGCGATCAGTCGCGATCATCTTGAATACCAAATCTCTTGCACAACCCATGCGTGATTTCAAACAATTAAGCTCGTTATCTTAACAGTTTCGTGACTGTATTGTACAACATAACGACTGACGGTCGTTGTCGTTCTTATCCGCGACGTGAACTGAAAGTTAAACAATGTTCCGTGCAGATAACAAACGAACTTTTTACGAAAATCGCTTACAAATTACAATAAAACGTGGAAAAGACATGGGAACAACATCCGAGAAATATAAACGCTCGTTGGAATAATAAATGCAAAATGTAAATATAGGCGACTACTAATTGGTATTCAATTTAATACTTATTTTTATTGGGACGTGGGAGTTTTGCAAAAAGAATATCGTTTGTATATTCATGATATATATATATATTATTCGAATATTTGCATATTTTTCGAATTTGCGTACTTGGCATATGCATGTATATATTTTGCATGAGTATAAATTTTATATAGCCACTTGTTGTTTATAAACGACTGGTTCGTAACGGTTACTAAAGACTTTATCCAAAGAAAGATAAAGACTTTATCCAACGTCAAGATTTTGTTTTTTAATAAAACACACACGGAATACAATAAATTGTGTGTATTGTATACAACAAATCTGACTGTTTATTTAAAATGAAACTAATAAACGTGAAAGATGACGTCGTTTAAGCGTTCCTTACGATAACGCTAACGGGTGTATTAAATTATTAAAAACCAAAGTCCTAAATACCCTTTCAAGAAACTCTACGATAATGCCTATATACTCCTGTCCATCTATAAATAATTAATTATTAAGAAACAAGGTCTTATATCGCTTTTAGGACAACTCTTTACGATAATGCCTACAAACTTCCGTCTACTTATAAATACTGTAGCGTCCACGCCTCCCATACCCAACAATAAGGAGTCAAATAAAAACACGAAACGTAGGCTACGGGATTGGTCTTGTAGGTAAAGCGGTCGACTGTGGATCCGAGGATCGTGCGTTCGAATCCCCGTGCTTTATTTTTCGTTTAGACTCCTACAATACTTATTAAAAAACAAAGTCCTACAGCCTCAGTTACAAGAGTAACTATTAAAATAACGAATCCCAATACAAAACCGTATTTAAACGTTTAATACACATTTAGTGCGAAAGTCCTATAATCCCTTTTATCAAGGATGTTCGCCAGTCTCCCCGTAGGCGTCCATCAGACGCGGAACATCGTTCGAACGATCGTCGACAGGCGGCGCCAGCGTACAGGCGCCAACTTGCGCCGCTAATCGAACGCTTACAGGCGCCCAATACGAATCGAAGGGTAAATATGACCAAGGGTCTCGCAGTTACAGACCACAGAAAATCCCTCGATCCTGGCAAACAGAAAAAGTAGACGAATGGCGAAAGATTTCGTTACGCGAGCGAAAATATTTGCATCGGTCTTATCTCCTCGTTTTCCGTCATCGTCGTCGGGCGCCGTGTATTTACATCGTCGAAATGTCACGCGACCGAAATAACCGGTTGGCCAGTGACGACAGTCGCGTTTAATCGGGCCCGTGCGCTCGTTTGCCTATTAAAGGGATGGTATTAATTCAGTTTTTAGTCAGCCGGAGAAGATTTTCGAACCGGCCGACAGACAATCCGAGGAGGTCGAGAAAGAGAAAGGGGTGGGGGAGGATGCCGAGCATCCTAAATATGCAAATGAATCGAAGATACAACCGGGCAAGCATGAAGACGAAAAGGTGGCATGCCATGCGATATGCGAACCCGATCGTGCGTGCGTACGTTCTCCTCTGGCACTGGCTCTCATCGCGCCACTCTTCACCGACGATGATCGATACGATGATCGATTTGAACGGAATCACTGTATAAAAACCTTATGAAATTCATAAAAATTGCTTGTGTTTATTTTCTGCGAGTAGTAATGTACAAAGTTCCTACAAGGATCCAATTCGCGAAAATGTATAATAATATACTAACATAATGTAACGAATAATAAAATGTAAGTTTAAAATGTAAACTAGATATAAGAAACTATGATAACTCCAAAGACTAAAGAGATTGTGAAACTCAATGTTTTGAGTGAAACAATATGTAAAATGCAAGACTGGACCAATAGGTACGACGATCAACATTGTAACTGGCAACTGTTTGTTTTTACGTTTATCATGTGTATAAATATAATAAAAAGAGGTAGGGAACTGGTAATTCGGGGTATGCAATAACGCGCTCCGAAATGATAGTCGATAAGGTTATCGATTTACACGAGAATTATTTGTGGATCTTGTGAGATGAGCGAAGATTATTTTGGTGTTTGTGCAACGTGTAATAAGTAAATAATAAAAGTAATATATAGTACTAAATAAAAGAAAAGAAGTAATAAATGTAATAACGAGTAAATAATAAATAATGTTTGTAATTACGTTTCGTAATATTTACGTTCACTTGATTGTATATTAGAAATCGACGTTTAATCAAAATGTCACGCACAATAAGAATAATTAAGGGTAAAACAATGGTTTCGGTTAATTAAAAAAAAAAAATTTGGTAAGTGCCGCCAAAGGCGACAAGTGCCTTACCATTTTATGTGTGTTTCCATCCTTGTCTAGGGGAGTGCTAAACGTCTCTCCTTTCATACTACACAACCAGAGGCAGATCTCGGCGAGCTTATATACGAACCGACTGGTCGACCGACCACTTGCGAGAAAGATGTTTTTCGCGAATAGCTCAAAAACGGTTCGTCCAATAGAAAAACTACTAAGACATTTTTTGCTCCACGTAACGTAATCTATCGACACATGCACTTTTTTTTATTTGATTCGGCACTATGTAAAATGTTCCTATATCTATATGCTATACCAGGGGTTCCCAAACCGAATACTGTCTAATTTCGCACGACTCAAATTACATAAAGTACTAAATAAGACGTACAAAGAATGCGTGATTTCTAAAATATTCCAAACGAAGAAAAGATTTAGTTATTAAAAAATTATAAAAATATTTCTTGAACATAGAAATAGCCCCGAAAGCAATTTCTTTTCAGAACGCAAAATTGTACAACATCTTTCCAGACATCTCGATGCATTCATCGACTATATGCGGAGTTTTCTAAAAGAAATCCTCAGGATTTCAATTTTTAAGAAAACACGAATGGTACAGAATGCATCAAATTTTGTTCGCTTTAAACGAAAGTTCGCACGATTAGCATAAAACCTGCAAGATGATGTATTTTGTTATTAGAAAAAAAGAAAAACAAATTTGGATCGATTGAAATGATTCGTACACATTGTCGGTGACGTTCGTTTTTATTCGAAACGTCAACGGGCAATTTTAAATGACGAAAAACATGTATGTAAAATTTTCGTGCGTGCAGGAGGAACTACTTACGCCAACGGAAGTGTCATTTACACTTACCGGAATCAGGGCTGTAGATCGGTGTGCATTCTTCGTCCTCGTCATCGGCGGTGCAACCACTTCCGGCGCCAGAGAATATTAAGTCATCCGCGATGCCTGGAAAACCGGACGCTGGTGTCTGCGAAGGGAAATAAAAGAAATACAGTATTTGTGGTGACACGGGACACGAAAAATTTGCTGGAATTAAAAAGAATACGAAAACTTTAGTTGTACATTCGTAAAGTTAAAATTCGGGAAGATCGCAGAACTTAATTAACAGTACATCGTCCTTGTTGATTCCAATTAATTACGTTCCACGGCAAAGACGAATGAATACATATTTTTCTGTGTAATTAGATTGCGTGAGATTTATGCAAAGTAGGTATTAAGAAAAAAAGTGTTAAAAGTATTATTGAATTTGACTTACGAAGCTCCTTTTTATGTATTACGATCGTATCGTGCAAGTTTATCAAAAAGCCTTAAAAGTATCTCTTACAATTTATTATTCCATATTAACAATGACATGAATCATTCTTATATGATTGAATTTAATGTATATTTATCTCAAGATTTAAGAACAGAAAGTCAATGGTCGTTTATACTACCAAAAAGCTACCGGCACAATTAACAAAAACATTTTATTTAAAATAAATTAACACTTTCATTTCACCGAAGTACCCTTCACTGGTAAATGAAAGAGCTTTCCACCCCTACAAAGCACACGAACTCCCAGCAGTCTAATCGATCTGTTCGTTCTCCCAGGGGTTGGCACTTAGCGTTTGATTGCCAGCATTCAGCTTTTGTACCCGTGTTCCCGCGTTTTCGATTATACCACAGAGTACATTGTTCAACTCGGTTCACCTGTTGCATTCTTTGCAGAGGAGCGGCGCGATCCAACAAGCTCCCAGCTGGTAACAATTGAACATCCCCTTTGGTGGTAACCCTTGCATCCTTCGAGGCGGCGAACTCCAAAATCCTTGCACCGTTCACAACCAGGCCTGCTATCACTCCCAAAAATGGCCTCTCCACCCTCGCTTTGTCGCTGTTCCATCGACCACCGACTTGAATCGTCGACTGGCTGTTGAACACTGTCAGCTGGCGACCTGCTGAGAGCGACAAAAATTCTCAGGTGAGCGAAATTCTCATCTGAATTGAAATTTCCAGCAACAAATGGAAGTATCAACAACGTTCTGTACGTTACTAGTCGAATAAAAATCGAAGTTTATTCGATAAAGTATTTTAAATTCCTCCCTTAATGTTTGAAAATCTATAAAAAAAAATCTATCTATGTTATTTTACAAAGTTATTCGGTTCGTGTTGAGGAATGATTTTCGAATGGCGACTATTTGCATTTCACAAGGAACAAATAAACGGAAAATGTAACGTAGAGTGATACTAAAAGAGAACATAGAAAATTTTACGCGGAAATTTCTGTACAAGGTTTCGTAACTGGCTTTAAATATTTAATAAGCGAAATAATGGAACGTTGGGTTTTTTACACCGACTACTTGAAAAGAACTCGGCAGCGAAGCGGTTAACGTCGAGAAAGCTATTTGAAAGTTTAATGATATGGAGATAAGGGGTTGGCGAGGGATATTACACTGAACTAGTTTCAGCAACCTGTATAAAGGCTGTCTGTAAGTATCTTTTACCCAAAATAATGAAATTCTCTAGAGAGAATTCTCGAATTTTATTCGAATAACAAATTACGATTACAAAATCCTCTTTTGGCGACTTTCATGTTGCCAGCGTTTATTTCGATTGAAAGGTTACTCAGAGAATTATTTATCAGTTCTACCTGAAATATAATACGATTGCTCTGGATGCTTTTATTGTATACGCATTGGAATTGGAATTCCTTCCTCGAGCTCTTTCCGAAGGGAACTGAAGCACTAACGAAAACGTACAGAGCCTAAAGCATCGGTGACTAAATTCGCGTGTGTGCGTGGCCCTATCGCCTTTTGTATGAAAAGGAAGCCTCGAAAGTCCCTTCTTACTTCACCGTATATCTCGCTACTTAATTTATGCTGTCCCTAGCGACTGACAAATGTTTTCGTTTGACCGTTGACCAGGCGAGCAGGAGAGCCTCTGGGTCTGGCATGGACAGGCAAATGACCACTGTCCCAATGGCAGTACCTTCGGAGAAGATGGCAGTTGAGGTAGACCCTCGAGTCTCCTTCCTACTCTTCAAGGGTTTCCTTCGATCCCTTTCCCTTTGTAGGGTCTAAATTTGGTTGGTTTTGAGAGCAGGCAAACATGATCCGCGTGGAACTCTTTAGGGCTCACCCTGCCCTTCGTGGGATGAGTACTCATTGGATTACGTGCAGGTAACTGTGTTCGTCGAACGTACCTTCTTCGTCGAAGGCAAGGCAGGTAAAATGTCCGACGAGTCGAGATTATGGTTTTATGATAGTTAAGGTAGACCCTCGAGTCTCCTTCCTACTCTTCAAGGGTTTCCCTCGATCCCTTTCCCTTTGTAGGGTCTAAATTGTCTAATGAAATGTCTGATGAAATTTGTCGATTATGGTTTCATGACCCATGGTAGGTCTTTCGGAATATAATATTACTGCGAGAGGATTAGACCTGGATCTAGATTTCCATCCATACGATAGTAACTGTTTTCTGGTTCTTTCAGACACTTTGAATGTTTGAGTCGATAGGTCCTTTACCTGTAGCAGCAATAAAGAACCAAGGAACCGTTACATACTGCCGCGTAATTTCAGTTTATTATCAGGCACATCTAGTTGTCGGAACTCTTAACCTTGGCAGAAAAGTCTTTGCAGTTTTCCGTTCGTGTCGAGGTTTTGCTTGGTTTCATCACTGGCTACGATAGATTTGGAAAAATCCAAACCTTCCATCGACGTCACTGCCATTTCCATTTCCATCCGATTTGTGTTCTACTTATTAATAAAACGAGAGAAACTTTTGGAACGACCTAATATTAAGCTCGATTGTGTAATTCGTGTAGAGGGAGATCGAACGAATTCTCTCGTGATGAATCTAACCAACATCAACAGCCTTTCGATCTCACTTTCTCGGCAAGCATCAATTCGTGTCGACAGGTTCTGATCATTCCTCACAGCGGGAGTGTCATGGCGGACAGAGCGCTCGTACCGATATGTTTTGGAATATTTCTTGTAATTCAATCTTTTATTTTGCTACAAAAATAAATATATCGAAAATATATATATATGTATAGGTACACATATCTGTCAATGCAGCATAAAAGAAGAGAAAGTTTAGGATACGGCCTGCCCTCTCAAGCGTCACCGACGACCCTTCCTATAGTTTTCACACGTCTGTGAAGAGTCCACTGTATAAAGCTAGAAATACGTTTTACCATTTTTTCTATAACATTTCTCAGTTAGTCTCGACCAGTTCCTCGAACAGTAAACATCGGAGCTATCATTCCGATATTTCTAAAATTTATTTAGAAATAAAGATAAAAGCTTTTGTTTGATAAAATTAGTATTTTATCTTTGCATTTATCCTCCATTTCCAATGGTATGATCGCAGAGCTGTCGAAGAAGGGTTACTACTAGTTTCGCGCTATCAATATTTCCGGATATGTATATTAACCAGGGACACCGACCAGGCCAGCATGGTCGTCTCGGAGGTCCGCGGTGTCCGTTGGCTCCGACAGGGCGATGGAATCGATCGGCAGAGATCGATAATGCGGTTATTTTTTCATTAGGCGACTAGAAACTGAGCGATGAGATGCGACCTGAGGAATCGGGGTACGCTCTCTCGATCGGTGGTTTCGGCCTCACGTGACCAGCCATGGGCGAGTTAAATACCACCTGGTAATAGGAAAGCAACAAGCCGAACCAAGTTGATCCAGCTGTCGAGGACGATCAGCTGGAGGGTATATCAGGAGGCATCGTTAGGGTCGGTTCGACATTAATTTTGTGGGGACAATAATTTTGGCGAGCCGAGAAAAAATGGGCCTGGCTGACAGGCTTAGCAGGCTTGCAGAAGCTGCCAGGAGGATGGCTCCGGTGCCATTTTAGGCACAGCTGTGACACGGTCTTTTCAGACCTCGCCCACAGTCACGCGACTCCTCTAAACTTGGGAAAATTCGATCAATTTACCAATGGTACTAACGATACGCGAATACTCTCGATGTCAATCAAATTAATACATTTTTAGTCTTATGCACAATTGTGCATATTGTCTCGGATGTCAGGTATAGTAACGGTACTTCTCTAAACTCGAGAAAATTCCATTGATTTCGATTATAAAATCAATAATAATCCTGGGTTTAAGCTTATCATATTCAAGAGGCAAAGAAACTAGTTCGAAGTGTGTGGGTGAAGTTGACGGATCTAGAAGTTTTAACGTCTTAATCAGCGTCTTAATGTTAATTTATAAAATTGAATTAAAATAGCGTCAACTAACACGCTTGTGAAATATTAATCGAATATCCAAAATTTCACGAGATTACAGTATTTATCTGCGGAGAATGAAAGTATTTAATACCAGTAATAATTAACAGAATTATGAAACGTGTTCCTCCTAATGGATTATGCTAATAAATAAAATTAAGCTAAAACTAAAATAAATCGATTTGAATTATTTTACCATTACTGTGAGGTATAATCGTTTAAAAGTATCTCGGACTATTAAATGTAACAGCTGTTGGTGAATGTAAACTAATACGAAGAACGCCCGCGCTCGTAACTTCGTGTTATGTAAATGATACGTGTTATCAAGTACATATACACTATACGCGGATTGTTCACACGTGACGTCAATTGTATCGACGTCACTGTCGCAAATACTACCATTTCATTTCCATGCGATAAAGTGTGTCGCGATACTTTGTCTATAATTAATTCGCTGCAAACGATAGCGTTTGCTACTATATTTAAACTCTCATTGTCGGTTGTAACGTTCTCGTGCGTTCCAAACTCGTATTTTATTTCAGTTTATTCTTTTGTGTGTTAAAAGTGCCGTATGCGAACCATTTTTTCGCTTCTATAGTTATTCAATTTACATTTCGATTCGTTGAAAAATATTTACGAATAATTGTTATAATTATATATGTCTAACTATTTAGACAATTTTCAAGTATCGTTAAATTGTTCAAATTGCAGAGATTTGAAAGAAAGACATATACATATAAATATATAAATTTGATATGTCTTATTTTTTCTTTTCGTTGTAAGAACAATTATTGCTTCGATCATACTATTCTTACGATGCAAGAATATCAATACAACCAAGATACATGCCATACTTTTTATCAATAATCTTAAAAACAAAAAGAACCATCGCCTGGAGGTTCGTAGAATATAAACATCCTGATACTAAAAAATGTACAATAATTATTCTACCACAAAAACCGTATTAATTCTCCCCGTAACACGAACAAATATAATACTTTTAATTCGTTCAAAGATTCCAAGCCCTAAGCGATTCTCAGTTTGCTCACCGACACCTAATCGTTCCACCGCGCGTTGGTACTAACGCAACAACCGACAAAGTCGAAACTCGGACTCGAGTTCCAACCGAGATGCTTTTATTTTTTTTCCTTGCGAACGAGCACTTGCCGACCAGGCATAGTGAGTCTATCAGCGTAGCATAAAAATCCAGCTGGTCGATCGACGCTCGCCGTCACGCGGACACGCCAGCAGGGACTCATGTGTGTTAGCGTAGCACGCGTCTCTCGCTCGTTCCTCGCACGTGCGACACTCGCGAGTGATTCCTGAGTCAATTACGCCGAAACCAATGCCAGTAAAATTGCCGATCATCTGGCAGGTGTTCCCGGAACGAGATAAGCGTGCCATTCGCGTCGCATTCCGATCTGAAGAAGTCCAATAAACTGTATCACTCGACTAGGAGAACAGGAGGTCCGTGGGTGCTTCAGGGTTCCCCGCTCGACCCGAATAAGAGAATTTAGGCAGCCACGCCTACTCGACCGATGCCTGGCCCCAGTGAAGACCAACCGACGGGTCAAGGGACGACGTGATGCGTTTTATTCGAGTAAATCTAACGCGACAGCAGTTTATTCGTGACTCGTGACGTTTGTATTAGGTTGTCCCGAGAGTTTCTTTCGTTTCGTTCGTTGGTAATACATGGACAATATTTTATGTTTTATGTTACA